AAATAAATTCTCCTCTGGAAGTCTGACACACCTACCTGAACCTGGGACTCTCCATCCTCCTCCTCCTACGAATCACATGGGTACACTTTGCTTTCATGTTTTTATTATTTAGCCTAATTTGTAATAATTTGCTCCACACTTGCTATGGAGTTCCCAGGCTTCTCAAATTATAAATATGATCAATATGACCAAACATTCAGTCTTGAATGTTTGGACATGAAATGTTTGGACATGAAAATATCGGCAAACTACAATTTGGCTTTTTACGTTTTGTTTGGAGTAATGACTTCTTCCAACTCGTGGTTGATGCTGGACTTTCGTCACCAGTATAATAAATCCTCAGTCTTACTAGCAACTAGCAAGGTTAGTTGGAAGTTTGTTTCTGTTGTGTTGCCTGTTTTATACAAAATGACCTTCACGTCTGGGACGCAGAACCCTGAGCCGTATGACGGCCGGGCATCGGCTGACATACGTAGAAAAGATTCTAGGTCGATTTTCTTCGATATATGTAAATATCTAGCTTTTCCTCAATAAAATACATAACTTTCTTTTTTTCCTCCAGTTGAATATGTGAAATAATGCCACTTGTCTGTGACACTCTAATTTATTAAGACATACCTGTTTGCGGCAAAAGGTCAGTAATGTTTCCACTTCATGAATGACCCAGATTCAAATGCTCTACCTGTGTGTGTGTGTGTGTGTGTGCGTGTGTGTGTGTGTGTGTGGGTGGGTGTGTGTTTGCGTGCCAGACTTTACCGCACGCGAGCTCAGAGAAGGAAACTCAACAGTTTAGTTGTGATAGTGGTTTCACGGAAACGCTGCTGTCACATTACAGGAAGGATTTGATTTATCTTAAGCTTCTCTCAGCAGGCTCCCTCCTGCTGCTAGGTGGTTAACAGGAAAGCTATAATCTCCACACACACACACACACACACACACACACACACACACACACACACACACACACACAGAGAGATAAACAAAAAGTATGAGCAACGAAATACAGTGACTCAACATGCAACCTTTACGAGGGGGAAAAAAACAACTGTGATCCTCACAAAGACAAACTTCTGCACTCGTACATGTTCACATTGCTATTTGCAGCGGTAATTAGAGATGTGACAGCCAGACAGGTGGAGGTGACGATAATGGGCCTCAGCTATTTCTGTTCCCCCGCTCGCTTCGTCTTTACAGCTCTGACATTCCCCCCCTCACCGCCCTTCTCACCCCACGGCCGTCTTCTGCCCCTCTCACATCCCCCCCACCCCCCTGGCTTTCTCAGAACCCAATTGTGAGAAGGAGTTCAAGGCGCTCTCGCAGTTCGCATCGTTTTCTTCCATTCTTCTGTTTGTTCCCGCGCTCTGACTTAATTATCAAAACAGATTCCTCTGTTCCGATAAACAAACATTCGTGCGACTTCTTAATATTTGCCTGGCTACAAGCTGGCACCCCGGAACATTTGTGCAAAAACTTAACTTTATTGTCTTACTTCTGGTTGGATGCAGACACATCGGTTTTCAACATAAGGTTTGCAGAGCGACAGCGTTGCTTCAAGCTCCAGGGTGCAGTAGGATTTGGAAAAAATGATTTTCTGTGTATATTTCATGCTGGAATCCCTAACTGGAACTGATGGGCTGTGTGCTGTTTGGATATCAGTGCATTTGGGAAGTTGTCATGGTGCGACCAGTCAATTGAATGATACTAGATGAGACTTCCTTACAATATATAAAACACGTTTTAACTGATCTCCTTTATTCACCTCTACAGACACATCAGCTGCCATTTTTGTCATCCCAGGTGACGATTAATTAGGCGTCACGTTCAAGGACTCATAGATGTGTCAGTGCAGAGGTTTCAAGGTGAGACATTTTCCATCCCAGTGGACAGACTGTGATATATCACCCTGACGCTGTTGTTCCCGAGCTTCACGGAGACGTTCACCGTGAGGGTTACCCAAACACTCCTCAACCCGTGATGTATGCAGCTTTTATCTGATTCAGGGCTCCAGGGATCTGCTCCAGATGACCAGGGCAAGAGGAACTGTAACACCTGGACGGGTTCCCGGCGTGTCGAAGAACAAACGCAGAGAAAACCAGGAGCTTCACGACTACTGATGTTACACAGAAATGAACAGTGAGACTCATAACCTGAAAAAAGGTATTTAAAGTCAGACAACAAAGTTTCTTTCCATACAGGATCATCCTTGCTGGGAGATTTTAACAGCGGCAGTATTATGTGTTTTCCGACCACATTACATCACTTACCAATGATAGAAATTCATTCATTTAAAAATGAATGAAAACCGACCTTGTAATTTAGCGCCTCGTAATTGGATCTCTGTCGCTTTAAGAAAGTCCTCCTCTTTCCACAACTCTGTCATCACATGACTCCTCTACTAACCCTGTAGCAATGTTTTTACCAGCATTTCACCGGGAAGTGGCTCGCATAACGAGCTCTGCAGAGGCGTGGCTCGCTCCACTGGGTGTCTGCTGATTGCTGCCGGCTAGTCTGAAGGAGCTGAGTGGGAGAGTCAAGAGTGAGGGTTGCTCTATAATGCTGGAAGTGCAACTTGGAGACGGAGCTTCGTCCCCCCAATTGTTTTCACAAACGTGAAAGAGCCAAAGCAACGCTCCGGGTGTGTTTCCGATGATGGAATAATAATGATAACATGTCGCAAATCTAAAAAAAAAAGTCAATTTTACACAATTCTGCCCCTTTAAAGTCTGTCCTGCTGTAGCTCACTTCCACCCAGCAGTTAAGCAGTTAACATATGAACAAAACCCAGTTTTTTTTTGTCTTGCTGCTTGCCCTCATGTCGATGCACATGACAGGTTTCCCCATTTGTCGCCTGCATCTGACAGGCAGCCGCTGCCACGTTGTTTGCTCCTGCAGCTGGAGCTGAAATCTGCCACTCCGCTCCTGCGAGCGCGTGAGCCGTCGTGCCGCGGCAGGGCTCCTTCTGAGCGATCCTGTTTCAGCGCGTCATCCGTCCTCGGCAGCGGGGACCGCCTTGACCTTGAGGACGGTACAGAGACACTCTGCCCCCGTTCCTCCTCTTCCTCTCGTCCCTTTTATTTCTCCGCCGTTCATTTTCCCCGCCTCATTGTCAGCGTCTTCTCTTCAGAGCAGATGCTCTCAGCCTGAATTCATTTCAGCCTCTTCGTCGACTGGAGACTTTCACACAATTGTGACAACAGCATTGTTACTGTTCTTGTCATGTATACATATACAGTATATATAAAGCACAATCTTAATTTCACCGGTTACTAATGTTCGCCAAACTATTCCAAGATCTGGGAAGTATGACTCATCTCGCCAAGTCTGAGGCTTGTTATAAAACAAAAATTAAATCATTCACTGCCTATGATGCAACAGTGGGACAGATTTTTACTATCGTTGAGTTACCGACGGGGGTTCGGATTCCTTAAAAGACTTGCGGCTGTGGCCCTGGGGGCATTTTGTGGGATTGTGGGTTAGCCAGATTTGCTTTAAAGGACTTTCAAATATTTTTTTTTTTTTTTACACCCAAATCGAGAACCGTGTCAAAGATTGAGCCTGTTCCCAGAGCGACTGCTCGAGTCGCGACGACGCCTGAGGCGTTTGTGAACAGAAGACGATGGTCGGGACAATTTTCTGAGCATCGAAGGTCAAAGGGCAGGGTACAACGACGTGGGATTGAGAGAAGACTAATAAAAAGCTTCTTCACAAACCCACATGCAATGGTAATTTTCTGTTTACGGTGTTCGGGCTTTTTTTTTTTTTTTTTACATCTTTGCAGTCTTTCGTGGCGTTGTTCATTTCACGAATGCCCCCTTTTTCCCAATCAAAGCGAGTTTTAACTCTCATGCTTTGCAGGAGTCATGATGAGTTTTGGATTGAGAGTGGGACAATGATTAGATGACAGTCTTGTGTAGAAGAAACCACTGTGCGGTGTGTTTTTAGAGTCAATCAGAGTACGTGTTGCATCAGCCGCAGTCTGAAAAATGTTTCGCTTAAGTGAGGAAAGAATAAGCAGCTGAACACACCTTGAGAAGGGCGGAAAATATCTCCACACGACGCACATTTTCACCAGCTCTATCATTTTTTATGCTTGGCGTTTGCAGTGTTCGAGCTCAAATGCAAAACTTCCTATAAAAGCGCTTTTAAAAGCAACAAATGTTAGAAGAATTGTCAGTTTTTGAGCAAATATGAGTGAAAGAAACGCAAACCCAAGCTGGTTGCAACGCCGCGTGGCAAGTAGAGGGCGGCAGGACGATTTGATCTGGATCTGAGTTGGCAGTAAGTTCTGCAAAGTGTGTGAGCCTGGCTTGAGTCGACCGTTTGAGCCGGTCCAAGGCATCGCAACGCACGGTGAACGTAAAACTCCAAACCTGTAACGAAATACAAAGAAACAAATGCAAAACAAAACACTTCACCACGTTCTGTTGTGATTTGAAGGACTTTAGAGGTCGTTACGTTAAACACTTTAACACACACTCTGCGTTCATATGTTTCTGCACCCGCTAAAGATTGTGCTTGATCCACTGACCTATTTACGTCTGTGTCAAAGATTTCACAAAAACACATCGCTGTGTTCTCTGTTAAAGAATGACTCCCTCTTTGTGTTTTGTGTACTTTGGTGTGCAGATATTTCTCTCTCAGCGTGTTGCGCGTCGCAGGCAGACCGCCTGCTGCAGCGCTGAGACTCATCAAAGCCTCTGCAGAATCACTCCAGGCTGTTTAATAGCGAGACTCCCTCTAAGCTGCATCCAACATTAGAAGGCTGCTTTCAGGGTTGTGTGTGTGTGTGTGTGTGTGTGTGTGTGTGTGTGTGGGGGTGTGTGTGTGTGTGTGTGTGTGTTGGTTAATTACTTTGTGTGTGGTCCACGTATATGAACTTGCGCATCTCTGGGGCACAAATCCTTTATACAAGCCAGAGGTGAACCTACAGCAACATTTTGGGTGGATGGATTTTTATAAAAGATAAAAAAAAAAACAACAAATAACCAAACACACAAAAATGAACTGCAACTAAATTGTAATTCCCTTTTGATGCATTTGTTTTTCCTACAGCAAATGAACGTGAAGGAACTTTTGACGCAGTAGTTATTTTCTATTCCAGTCTGTCGATTAAACGTGCGCCTGATCATTCAGTCGTTCATTGGCAGGAATTTATTGATGATAAATCAAATTTGCCGTCGTGGTGGTGCGATTTTCACTGCAACGACAAACACAGCAACTTCCATATACTCGGGCTTCAGTGTTGAACGTGTCTGAGTTGCTCCCGTGAGACGGAGTAGTGGGATTTCTACATGGTTACATTCACAGATGTCATCACAGTGTGAAAGAATCCTTTTAAAAAATAAAAAAAAAAACAATAAAATAAATATCGTGTTAATAAAATGATGCCTATTTAGGTCCCGCAACGACAATTTGGCTGACCTTACTGTTTCCCATGTTTCGCTTTGGTCATAATTATTAAACTTGTTGTTGAGATGTGTGTGATAGGAGTGTTTATCACACATTTATAGCAACACGAAATAAATCATAGACAACAACAACCGCCTGTCATTGTGGGCAGCTTAAGCTAAGCTGTTAAGTAAATAAAATGCTGACAAAGAAAAAATCCCCCACGTCGTTTTTGCGCCACTGAGCGCAGCTAAGGTTTAAGATTAGCGGGTCAGGGTTAGAGCAGCTAACTTTTAAGCAGTGCCCACCACTGACCGGAGCTAAAGGCACAGAAACCTTTCCAGTGTCCAGCTGACTACTAGGTTACCATCTGTAGGACCAGCCTGAGGAGTATTAGCAAGTCAACAAAATAAATAAAAGTGAAAACTATTTAAGACTGAATATGGCAGAATGAGAAATGGCTTAAATCCTGAAACGTCGGGTGCAGACTAGACTTTTGAGTTGCTTGTCTGGCTGTTTCCAGCTACGTTCAGGAGTCCCAGTCCATGTGAAGGTCGGATGCGTCCAGGAAGTCTGCTGAGAACACACTCGGGGGCGTTTGGGGCAGCAGTGTGGACGTTTCCCATTCGCGCTCTCCTCCCGCGGGGAAGCCCAGCCACGCCTTACTGTCCGAGGAATCCCTGGGAGCTGGGTCCAGGATGCAGGTGGTGCACATCATTTGGTCGTCAAGCAAAGTGGGGAGGCCGCCTGGTTCCGCCCCGTGGAGAGGCTTCCCGGGGAAACCTTCCAGGAAGTCCTCAAGGCGTCCGCCGCCACACAGATCGGAGTGTTGCTTATAATCCGAGCTTTTGGCTGGAGTCCAGGGTCCGGGCTGCAGAGGGGAGTCGTGTCGCAGCGCAGCACTGCAAGGGGAGTTGGGCGGCGACAACAGCAGGTGGAGCGGCGACGGGCACGGTGAAGAAAACGAGAAGCCTCTGCCGTCTTTCAGTGCTTCGGGTGTTTCTGGAGGCGAAAAGGAAAACCTTCTTACAGTTCCTTACAAAATTATTCACATATCTTAACCTTTTTTCTTAATGATTCACGGCATTACAACAACGTGCATCAATGTGTTTGATGGGGTTTCATGAGATGTGAACAGCACAACATGAGATTGTGATTTTTTTTTCTCTCTCTTCATTTGGTTGCCTTTAAACTGCAGGAAGTTTAAAGGCAACCATATCAGCTAAACTAAGGATCTGCTGCCAACGGGACTTCTTATGGCATTCCTTTTCGACACGTTTTCACTCGTGTTGCAGACTCATTCTCCAACCTGAGCTGTGGAGCTCTGCAGCTCCACCAGAGTCACGGTGGCGCTTCATCTGACCTCTCCGCTCAGGTGAAAGGTTCTCTAAAAACACACCGCACAGTGGTTTCTTCTACACAAGACTGTCATCTAATCATTGTGTGGAGATTTGAGAGTAAATTGTTAAGTTAGTCATTAAATTTGAAATGGTAATTATTGAGTTTTATTATAGAGCTGGCAGAAAAGATCATTATTTATTCTAGACGGTCCACGTACTGTACCTCCGGCCTGCAGGATGAGGTCGATGAAATCCTCGTCTCTCAGCTGCCGACAGAGAGAGAGAGAGCAAGCAGATTTTAACCATCAAATGACTAAAAATAGTTAGTTATATGAAACGGACATTGACTGTGAAACCTAAACGACACAGTCAGACTTTAAAACATGGTCATACTTTATCGTGAGACGGCGAGGCTGCCGTCTCGACCGAATCTGACGACAGAGGACTCAACAAGACATCCAGACCTGGAAACATCTCCTGTAGGTCACAAAACATCAGGGAATAGAAAAAAAAAAAAAAAAAAAAATATATATATATATATATATATATATATATATATATATAATATATATATATAGAAAATCTGAAGTGACAATCAGGTGAGTGTTTGAGTTGCTTACAGTTTGACAGAAAGGTGATGGGGAGTTCTTCCACGTTTGAGGAGACTGCAGCCTGGGAGCTGCTGCTTCCTGCAGCTCCACACATTTCTGACGTTCCTCATTCTTGTTCTTTAATGACGTGACGTCATTAAAGAACTTTGAAGAAAAGGAGTTTAATTCAGAAGATGAAGCAGAAGAAGGTTTTTTTTCTCTCTCTCTTAATTTGGCTGCCTTTAAACGTTTTTAGAAAAATGTTTGACCTATAAATAAACGAGCAGGAAGAAGTCAGCTCAGACTTGAAACTGCAGCATTCAGTTTGAATCAGAGCTTCCCCCTGTGTTTTATAAGCCTGGCGGGCCACCAGGCTTTACTTGCTCCCCCACCATGCTGAGATTTGTTCATTTGATCACTGCAGGGATCTTTTATAAACTGAATAAATGTCCTCCAATCAAATGTTTATTTTTTTCAAAAAATTTCCAGTGCGTGACATTTCACTAATGCAATGATTAAAATTCACTTGTGTCTTTTTGCATATCTTTTACGGGGTGTTCTGATACCGTTTTTGGGCTTTAAAAGTCCAAATCTGCACATTCAAATCCAATTCTGTTACTTTGAGACGGTCAAAAACGAACGAAGGAGAAAAACAGTCGACGGGTTCCGTGCAGCGCGCCACGTCACATTAAACCTGGATGTTTTTAAGCCAGTCGGCGTCGCTTGTAAAGACGTGATGAAGTCTTTGTTCCTCGTCTCTCAACACCATTAATCATAGTAATGGAGGAAGCTGTTGGGGTAATTAGCAGGGTAAAAATAATCAGCATCGGGCCAGTGTCAGACACTTCTCAAGCACCACTGCTATTGTTTCAAATGGCATAGGCCATTAATTTCACAGCAATCAGACTGACGACGGCAGTTTCCTTACGCTCTTATTTCACCATGGCGCATTAACAAGCTGCTCGAGTTTCTATTATTGCGCAGGCAACAAGGGAATGGGTTCAGGAACTCTACGGTTCGGTTGCAGATGGTTCTTTCAGGAAATTGTTACGATGCTGTAATTGTTTGAATCTGGGTGATTTAATGGTGACGTTTAAAAAAAACACAGAAAATTCTCACAAGATTCGTAAAAACCGGTAATATTTTGCATCGTGTATTTATACCAAAAGCCATGATGTATAAGTGAGAGGTTTTCAGTTGACGATAAGGTAAAAACAAAAAAAAGTCCACTGAGAATTTCTAGTAAGACGACAAAGAGTCTTAAAATGTCATCTAGTAAACACACAATTGCAGAGGTGGTTCAACGCACCTGAGATGCATCATGATTTGACGCCTTTCCTGTAATGTGATTGGTCAAAGAAATCAGGATGGGCGTCCTCTTGCTGTCACCAACCACGGCTGGGCGGGCGCCATTGTTCAGAAGGTCCTGCGGGACGAAAGTCTGAGTGCTGGTTGGGGAAACAAATCAATCTTTTGATGTTCTGTTCTTGTGTGGAGAATGCAGAACCTTGTAATTAAGCAGAACTATCTAAAGGAAAAAACAGTCGGACCTGGTGACCGTCTAAAATCCGTGCTGCGATTGTCCGTAACGTGAAGGACGCGAGGTTCTTCCTCTCTGCTCCTACCTGCTGCTGCGGATGCATCCTGCTCTGCATCTGGACGGGTTGCAGTTTGTTGTTCTGCTGCTGGTGCTTCTTGGCGACGCTCTCTTGTTCCCTCAGCAGAACCTGTCGCTTCGGCCTGGTTTTCTCCGGCTGGGGGCGACGCTGCTCAGACTGCGTCTCTAGTTGCCGTTTCTGAGATCTCCTTTGCTTCTGCAGACGGGGTTTTTGGTGGGCCTCCCGGCTGACGCTTTGAGCGGCGTGCTGCGGCTTGTCAGTGTTACGCTGCATCAGCCGCAGCCTACTGATGGCCTGTTGCTGGGCCAGCTGCCGAGCAGAGTCCTGGAGGCAAACCTGCTCCTGCTGGAGCTGAGGATGCGTCTGACTGTGAGGCTGTGGAGCTGGGCCAGACGACTGCGGCGACATCTTGGATGCTATCTCTTCCTCCATGGTTTCCTCCTTGATGGTTGTCACCTCCTTTCCACGGAGAACAACTAGAGGAGGACTTGTTGACCGATCGGGAGGTTCCTCCTTCACTCTTTTGAGAATGTGCGCCTCCGGAGCGTCTCGGTCACCGTTTCCCAGCTGCATTCTCAGCTCCTCCACCAACCTGTGATTCAGCAACAGCATCCTGGTGAGCTCCGCAATCTGCTGATCTTTCTCCTGCAGCATTCTGTCCTTGTCAACAGTCGCAGGAGGAGTTGCTGCGGCAATGGCGGGGGCCGTCGAAGAGACCGAGCCGCGTTCCGGCAGAGAGGTGGACTTTAAGGAGAAACGACAAGGCGCCGGGCCGGAGCGTCGGTGCTCCGGTTTGACGGCAGCCGACAGCGGCGCCGGCAAGGGATCAGAGGCAGGAGAGCTCATCTGCAGAGAGAATGAAATGAAGCGACACGTAAGGAGTACGATGGCATGGGCCAACCAACCACGACCCAGTTCATCACCGTTCCTCCTGTGGATCACTCTGACTGATATCATTTAAAACGCTGCCGAATGCATCCCATGCACTAAGAGTCGCCATAATGATTAATTGCTTTCGTCGGCCTTAATGTAATGCCAAACCTGACCAGGAACCCAATTAAATTGTTGGAGAAACATTAAAAACATGGAAAGAGACGCAGCGAGGACTGACAAGGGATTTCAGGAGAGAACTTCATGCTAACAGAAAAACATGGAGGTGGGAGTTAAATAGCAGCATTGATGGGCAGGAACATGAATATCAGTCAGCTGAAGTGTTGACCGTTATGCCAACACAGTGATCCAAAATCCACCAACAAGTTCACATCAGACTGGCTTGAAAATGTCAGACTTTAGGAAGTTTCACCTTAAACGTGCCGTTCGTCCGTCAAAGGTTTCCAGTACGGCTGAACTGAACCATTTTGCAAAGAAGAGGGGAGTGAAATTCTTCCACATCCATTGCTGGTTATTGGAAACACTTGACGGCAGCCATTGCCACCAACAAAGCACTTATTAAGTTTAGGGGACAATAACTTCTTTCTTTCTTTATTTTTAAAGTAGGGCTGTTTGAATAGTGTTTTCTGACCTGCTCATAGCATTAAAAATACACAGTTGGTCTCAATCATGACTGAATCTGGTTTTGAATCCAGCGGGAACATGAACATAAAATGACGTAATCTCGATCAGCATGCACACGTTTATGACACAGTTCATGCGGAAGTGAGATAATTTGAACAATGAGTGTTTCATGTCTGACCAGTTCCTCCAGTGGGTCAGAGTTAAAGCTGACTGGATTGGCGCCGTTCGGCAGGAGGGGTCCATCACGCATCAAGAGCCGCAGAGGAGACGGCTCACTCGCATTGAAACCGCCGCCTGCATCGCCGAGACAGAAAGATTCGAGTTGATTTAGTCTTAAATATGCTCAACGCCTGTGTAAACTGTGAGGAATAAACCCTGGTTCACCTGCTTTGGAACAGGGTCTCGCTCTCGCCAGCTCTGGCTCTCTGGCTCCCCCTGCTGTTGGAGTGGCGGTACCGCCTCGGCCCAGTTCCTGGTGCGTCCTGAGCCTCTCAATGAGATCCTTCCTGGTGCCGGAGACGGGCAACCTGCGCAGCTTCAGTTCGCACTTTAGTTCTGCGACCTGGCGGCGGACGGAGGAAAGGACAACTCGAGAATGAGGGAGGAAAGTGAGGAGAAAGCGAAACAGATGAAGGGAGGGGAAAAAAAGTGTCTGCTGGAAAAGAATTAAAGGAGAAAGAGAGCGAGGCAGAATAATCTGTCACTGTCGCTGGGGCTATGTTTGATGGGGAAAACAACTCGTTCTAAACTTCAATTTCTGTTTACTGAAGTTTCTCCTCGAAATAAGGATCTGTTTTCAGTCTCAATAAGTCTGGATTTAATAAATTCAATTATGTTGTTGCTTTCTTTTGTTTCTGCGGTTCCCCTGATTCACTTGTGCTTCTTGTTAGTCTCCAGCTCACCTGAGTTTCCCCATGAAACGTCTCTCTTGTTCATGTCTGCTTTTATATTAAGGTTGTTTTCAATAAATGTGTGTCCAAGCACCAGTGGGATGTTTGCACACATGTCACAGAAGCAGAATCCACTTAAATCGACTGAAAGACACGCGTCACACACTGTGAGACATGGTGGTGGCAGCATCAGGCTGCGGGACTGTGTTGCTGCTTTCAAACCAATAAAAACTGTGCTTACTGTGACATTTTACTCTAAATTTGGGCTGCGCACAGACACAATTACTGTAGGCAAATTGTTTGGTTGATAAACCTGGATCACAAATCCAATGTTCCGGCATGGCGGTGGCAGCGTCATGCACAGAGGCTGTTTTGCTGCAAGCACATGGAGTAATGAAAAGCTTTTTTAATGATTTAAAATTAAACTAATCTTTTGTTCTACAATAAAAAATAAGCTGTTGGCCTCAAGCCCTGATGGAAATATTATTGATATGAATATTTTATTAGACGTCTGATGTGTGCCAGAAAAATCATAATTTTAGCTTTTCTGGAAGAAAAAAAAACTGGGTATGAACTAACCTTCATTTCGTCCAGATTCAGATGGAGCGATGGGACTTTTGTCCCAGAACTTGGACCGATGTGGATGCGAGGAGAGGAGGAAGTGGAGGTCAAGTCAGACAGGGAAGAGGAAGGAGGCGGGTCCTGATCCCTGTTGGTGAGTCAGAGAGTCAGACATGACTAAACCTCAGCGAAAGACCGATTCACTGATCCGTACGAACTCTACGCTTACGCGGGCGGCGGGGCGTGGCAGTGGTGCTGCTGACTGAGGATCTGAAGCTGGAGGAAGAGCTGCTGCTGCTGGAGGATTTTGGCATGGGAGGAGTCCAGATCGGGAAGAGGCCCGGCGTCTCCCTTCTTGTCAGGAGGAACGTACTGATGGTACTTCAGCTTCTTTACCTTGAGGGGAACCCGTTCATTCAGCGTCACAAGATTCTCCCTCCAAACCTAAAGCGACAACGCCTACCTTTGGTGCACTGGCCTTTGGTGCACTGGCCTTTGGCTTTTTGAGCTTCTGGGTGGAGGGGTGATGGGACTAAAAAACACAAGAGGTTTTACCTATACACTCATAAAGCTCAGTTTTTTGTGTTTTTCTATGCATCTTACCTTAATTTCAGGGACTCTATAAGTCTTCCGCACACAGGAGTTTGGACGAGTGGAGGAGAGATGAAAAGGAAGACGTAATGGAGGAACCTGATGGGTGGATACAGACGGAAAGTTCTGGTTAAAACTTTGAGAGAGAGAAAAAGTGTTCTGGACGCATAAAACTAATTGCATTTGAGCCGAGTATCCACAGTCGGATCCGTGCGGTGAAACCTGTCAGGATATCGCCTACATCCAATCCACATGCCCAGTCTTGTAGGAGTGACCGTACCTCAGCTGGAGAGGCGAGGTTGCTGCCGGTCGGTTTCTCTGCTGAAGGTTGAATGCCCAGAGGACGCTCCCGGCTTTCTGACTGACGTGGAGACAGGCTGTCATTACTGTCCTCGTCGCATGACGAGTTCCCCCCCGAGGGCTTCGGAAACCGCCTCTCTAGGAGAGGCAGAGCAGCGGAGAGAGATTCGTTCATATCCTGCTAATTTTAGGAGTTTTATTAGGAGACAGGAAGTGCCGGCCATCTTGGATCTCACCTGCTTCGATCATTGGCGCATAAAGCCTTGAAATAACTGCGTCTCCTTTTTAAAAAGTCCAACTTTTACTTTGAGCCCATTTATTCAGTGGTGACAAAATTAAACAGTAGTGTAATAACTCTTGGTGCTCCAGCAGCTAATGCTTCAGTAGCAACTTTTTTGTCAAGAGCTCAAAACTTATTCTTCGAAATTTCACAAAATCTGAGAAATGTTCGACTATCCCTCTTGGTGAGCGTCTCTATTATTCAACCAGAGTTCTGGTTCCTCTCTTACAGCATCTTCTCCTAAGTTGAATTTGTGTCCGAGGAACTGTTTTCTGTCTTGATTTGGTAAAATCTCAGAGAGTTTGTGATGCCGTGCGGTCCAACAGGGCTCCTAGTATCTTAGGAAGAGAAACGCTTTAGTTAAGGAGTCGCCGAACACACCTGGAGTGTTTTCTAAATTAGCTTGGTTTCCGGTTCAGCCTCCCGACCACTGGCTAACAAAACCAGCATTATATACAGAACATAACACCTGGAAACAGGAAGTCTTTGATTACTAGTGGGAAACCACCATAATCTTTAAAACAAAAATATTTGTTGAAAGTGGGAGTGATTTATTGGTTTCAAAGGAACGATTAGAGGGATAAATGTTTGTGCTAAATGTTTTGTTCCCCAAACTGACATTATTCTTTTATACACATCCGAATCTACTGACAGCCCAGTCCGGCTCTGAAGTTTGCTGGGAAATAGAGAGAAACAGAAAAAAGAGAAAACACGGAGCAACTTCCTCTTCGGTTGCCAACTGATGCCGGCAATTCACAAGGTTGCCTAGAAGACACACGCCCTGTTTCCGAGGGTGATGCACACGCCTGCGGGCATAAACATTTTCACGTGATTCTGGTTGCATTTCGCCACATAATGTTTTGCAGGCAGCCAATTAACAACCGGCGAAAGAAGCAGAAAACGTCTTTCCCGCGTCAGCCTGAACCTTTTTGACAGGTTGAGTCATCCCACCAGACGGCCATACATCCAGGTTAATGTTGCCTCTTCGGGCGTCCCGTAGCAAGTCTTCCCCAGGACTCAGGGGATTTCAGCGCCTGCTAGGTTCCCCCGGTCTGCCGCGGCGGGTTTTCCTCACTAATAGATGTGTGTTGTTTAATTACCCGGGCAGACAGCTATGGAGATCGCACTGCTGGCCGATAATTCACCATCAGCAGGCGATGATGAAAACACAACATGGGGCTGATTTATTATCCTGTGATCCAATAATGTGCAGAGTTACCCACCGCTGGGCTGCATGTGTGCGTCTTGAGTGTGTGTGTATGTGTGTGTGGGTGTGTGTGTGTGTGTGTGTGTGTGCGCAGCAGCAACATGCACCATGTTGAAGCTCTGCACTGTGTCTCTGCTAAATCAATGAAACCTGCCGTATCGGAGCATCACAGGCACGACTGACACGTTCTGATTACATCAGAATCAGTTTTATTAGGAGAAAATCCTTGCACATCAACTTCTAATTTTTTTTCTAAAGGTTTCCTTTGGCACCGCTGGCCTTTATCGATCAGTAAAGAGGGTTGAGAAAACATTATTCTTTATTCCTTAGTTGAAAGCTCGTGTTTGACTGCAGTCTCCTGTTTGTCCAGCGGTTACATTTCAGGACTTCAGATGTTTCTTTCAGCGTCTTTCCTTCAGGGTGAATGTGGTCGATTGTTTTGAATGCTATCGTCGTTCAATCCTGATCCTTCACCTCAGCAGTCAGGAGAACACCAAACTAAACAGAACGACACACTTTCACAATAGCGACGTTCTGCTTTATGATGTCTCTGGATGTGGATATTTAGCCTTTTAAAGTGAAAACAAATCAAGCAGAGTCCTATTTTACGCCTCGCCAGAAATGGACTTTTTGTTTTTCAGCCTTAAAAGAAAACTTTAAAAATGTCTTTGCGTCAGTTTTGTTTGGTAACATGAACTAAATTTTCCAGCCCCATTAAAATGGATATGAAATAAACGTCCAAATACATAAGCAGTGGTGGGAGTGAGGAGGGATTCTCCAACTTGTTTCTCTCAAGCAAAGACGAGAGAGCATAAATGATTAACGACGCCTCTGTGTTGGGTAAAGCCGAGGCGTCGGCCGTCAGGATCAGTGCTGAAGGCTGGAGAAGGAGAGCCTGGAGCAAACATGCTGTCAGGAGGTCTGGACATGTGGGTGTGTTGTCATCACAGCTTCAGTATAGAAACACACCTCCTCATTTCTTTACAAAACATGAGCAGGCAGAGGTAGAAGGTAGGAAAAATGAACAGAACAGCCATCAGAAGTTGAAATTCCTGGTGGAACAGGTCTCAACGACCTTAAATCCAATATGGCTGCCATGTAGAAACAAAACAACATGTATGCTAACGGTAGCAGCTGATGCTCCTTAGCCGGGGTTTGAAGTTTTCACTCATTTTCAACACGTTTCGCTTTTGCTTCTGCAGTTTTCACTGAAAACCGCTCAGCCTGCAGCGTTCACGTCGCGTTTGCACAAGAAATGCTCATTTTTCTAGCTATCTTTTACAACCACATTCAATATTTGATACACAGGTTTTTTTCACATCCCTTGGCTTTGTGTAAATCATGCCACAGTGTTTGAGAAGCAAAAACCGCAGAGACCGCAGAGAAAAAAATCACCAGCAAAGATTTGTTAGCCTGGTGGCTGAGGTTAGCATTTAGCATTTGGCTAATCCAACGAATTCCGCAACTCGGAACACAGGAACAGAGTTTTGATGAGTTTTGATGATAACCCAAATTAGAGTTGGGTTATCTACGCTCATATTGCAGCTAGCCATAATTTATAAACCAGTGAGAATTTGTTGCTTAGGACAGAAGCGTTTTACCAAAGTTTTGCTCCTGGAGTGACTGGGGGAAGTGTTTTGCAGATGCAAGGCAGCTTGGCGGTTTTTAAGTGGGCCGAGTTTGGGAGACGAATGGATCCTGGATTCGTGTCAAGGTCATTGGAAGCTTTGGCGAAAAGCATTGGCTCGACTTCCTGAACGCACAATATCCGATGATCTCGACTCGCATTATTGTCTTAGTTTCTCTAAGCTTTTGCATCCGTAACATTCAAGGCGTTTACTCCCTGAATTTCCCGGGTCAATTGAAATGTTTCGTCATCTTCACTTGCTGTTCAGCTGGATCACATCTCCCAGAAATCAAACGCGGCCAAAGAGAGGCGGGAAACTTTTCAAAGCTCCCTCTGTTGTTTGTTAGCCTCTTTGCCATTGTTTACATGCAACTTGACATATTTTCCACCTGCTCCGTTTAGCAGCTTTTAAATAGTCAAATGAAAGATTAATTAAACCTGTGCAGTGCATAAGTTAATATTTCTTGGTGCAACGCTAGCTTTTGCAGAAAAGTTCAGTGTTTTCAGAACTATGTTGGACAGTTTTCTCATAACATGATGAATGTCGATGCCGTGCTTTATGAGACAAACGGAAAATGCTAGCGTGACTTACGCGTGACGGCCTGTCTGAAACACGCGTCCACAGGCAGGACGTTTCTGTGGACCAGCTCCACGGGCCCTGCTCTGTGGGCGACCTTGTTGTTCGAGTCGTCAGCGAGGCGAACGTTCCTGTGCTGAACGTGTTTGGATTGAAGCTTCCCTACAGAGCGGACAAAGCAAACAAAAGGCCGTCTTTTTTTTTTTTTTAAAGAATGAGAATGGGGCCTTAGATTCTGGACAGTATTTGTCAGAACCAGCCTGAACTGGAGTGGCTCCGCCGTGGCGCAGTGTGACACTTACCATCCAGGATCCGCATCCTGATCGCCTCGGGACTCCCTGACTCAGTCCTGACCTTCTGCTTGTGACCTTCCTCAGCCTGCAAAACAAATATTACAATGATCTAATCACGTTAGCTGAGAGTTTCTCTTTTAGAAACGATCACATAAAGGCCAATGATACTGGCAAACCTGTCCAGATCAATGAATCCAAGTCAGAGTGAGGAACTGATCAAGTGACTGTAGGGTCAGTTGCTTCTGGTCTACAAATTGCAGCTATTATTCAAATAGTTCAGCCACTTTGCCTAAATGCTGTGAAATCACACAGAGCCCATGAATCTGGACTTGTAAAAATGTGTTGAGGTTTCTGCTGTGGTTGCTGGAATTGAGAAACGCAGCCATTAAGGTGAAGCAGCTCCATATAAACCTCCATGTTTTATGAGTCGGATGTCTCTAAAGGTCGTGCGTCCTCAATACTTTTGGCAAAGTAGTGCCTTTAAGAGTTCGGCATCATTTTTTTCAATTTATTACTGCTATCCACTTTTTGCAAAGCTGAGAGCTGTGTTAAATGTTCCCAACACTGGTAACCGAGATGCAATTTATACACATTCCCGCTTGCATCCCTCTTAAATTCAGATAAAGTAATCGAGGCGCAACCACCGATTTAGTGAATAAATGTGCGTTGAACCTCATGCTCCTGTAGCATTATTCATACTCTGAGCAGATGGTTATATTTTAGCTCTTTTTTTCCCCTCCTTCAGATTTTCTCCAGGACCCAGAGTCGCTGGAACAACGTCGCTTGTTGCTAAGCCTCTTAAAGGCAAAGAAAGAAAAAAATGAACCAGTTTCAACTCAGCTGACTGCTCTGCTCACCTGTGCTTGATCCGAGGCCCGTCTCTGCTGGTGGAAGGCGGCTGAACTTTTAAGTGCTGGAAGGATAAAGACATGAAACAGAGAGAAAAAAAAGCAGAGTGGGCATTAACGCTGCTGCATGCCGATTAATGCACCTGAGGACAGCGAGACGGCTCCAAACGGATCTTCCCTTCATCGGTTAAGCACAAACAGAGTTATTGATGGGCACAATTATCACCGTTTTCTTTTTTTACAGCCTGAGCTCTGCCTGATTTCCGTTTCAGCACAGTTAATGTCTGCCGTCATTTTATATCTTTGCACAATGATGAAATAAAACGCGTCGTATTTTTGGAAAGTGGTTCCGAGAGCAGGAAAAAAAATCACTCAAAGTGGAAATGCAACGCGTCCAAAACGCTGAGCTCAGGCGGCCGAACCTCTGGAAACTACAGGTCTGTGAACACACTTGGAAGCTTGGTAGTTTATGTCATTTATTTCTATTAAACCTGGATTCTGCCAACTTCAAAAGTGGCATATGAGCAAAAATGCTGACAAGGATGACACTTTTTATGAAAACAAAACAAATTCTGGGGCTGCTTTCGTTCGATTCATATTTCTATCACGTAGGATAAACGGACAATAAAACAAACAACTTTGACAAATATTGGAGTTAATACCTCCAATCTTGCTGCACAACGGGAAGTAGCTCATTTTATTCTTACATTTTTTTATTCATGCAGTGATAATGTCTCTCGGCATTAGAAGGTAATATTACAAAAAGTCAGCATATGTTAGCATCATGCTAGCTTTTTGTTTACCCATTGCCAGATTTCCCCCAGAACAAAGTATTCGGTCACTTTGACCTCGAGGTCAAGCCACGAGGCCAAGAGGTCATCGAAGACGCCAAGTCGACGATTTCATGGTCTCAGTCAAGCCTCGTCTTACTGAAGCTCGCAGCAGATAATGCGCTTTTGTCCCAGTCACGTCCCTCTTGATTTTTAGACACGCACACGCACGCACACACACACACACACGCACACACACACACACACACACACACACACACACACACACACACACACACACACACACACACACACACACACACACACACACACACACACACGCTATTTGACAGGATTAGCAACTCCGAGCGAGACTCCGGGTACCTGCTTAAGCCTCAGTTCACATCGCTGCACACTGTCACTCTGCTGTTGCCCACCCCGGAGACATCGACCCCTCTTTAAGACCCCCACTCTTTCCCAAAGCGGGCGCTACGCCGGGTATGAACTTGCCTCAGTCAGACTGAGTGGTGGGGTGTGATGGAGGGACGAGGACGGAGTCCTCTTTTGTAAAGTGGAAGGCGTAGAAACACTCGAAAGTGTTAAGACTAAAACAAAAAGGAGCTAGCGAGAGAGAGAAAAGTAAAAGAACAGCAGACCAACTGGAAAGTGACGAGAGAGAAACAGAGAGGGGTGGGATCAGGTCAAAGAGAAAAGACCCCATTATGTGCTTGAGTGACTAACTAACATTGCTGGTCTTTAAACTTTGAAAACATCCAGCAGCATCACTTCCTATCTGGTCTTGATGGCCTTTTTATGTTCTCTCCGCTGCTGACGAGTGCTTTGTTCTCCCTTGTGTGTGAGCTGAAAGCTTTCTCTGCATTCTGCTGAACCGGTCAGCTGGTTTAACTGCCCAACATATTTGCAAAGGTCACAAAACCCAAAGATCGGCGGTATCAGACCCTGGAGCTTCAGATATGCAGAAGAACGACATCCATCATAGCCCGGAGACGTGAGGCTTCAAACATGCTCTCAATAGAGACGAAGGCTCACTTCCATTTTAATTAGCTCGATCTCTTTCTAGAGGAAGGTTTAATTTAGACCATCGCATGTCGCAGAGTGAGAACCCTGAATTCTTTAGCAAGTCAACAAGCCTTCCCTTTTTCACAAGGAATAAAAATACCCGGTGAAAGTGACGCGAAAAGTCAGACTCACGACTGAGAGCGTCACGACAACTATATGATCTTGAGAAATAGGAAAGCACCTGCAGAAGTCTCTCACAGTGAAAGTCTGAGCTAATGGCGAGAATATGCATGAGAAGAGAAAGTGTGAAGATTCAATGCAAATAATTCTGCATTTTAGGACCAAGAAAATCTCTATTTTAAAAAGGAATATAAAAGATACATAGCTAGGTGGCTAGTCGGTAGGTGGCTAGCTAAGCAGGTTGCAAGGTAACTCGTTAGACGAGTAGGTAGGTGTGTAGGGAGGTAAGTAAGTAGTTAACTCAATTGGTTGCTCGCTAGATAGCTAGGTTGCTAGTTATGTAGTATGTAAGTATATGTAAATATGGTCGGAAAGACAGACGGACAGATATTTGTGGCATCTGAATATCTGTTTTGATAGTAACTCAGCCACCAAGCAGTAGGTCACATAAAGTCACAAACCAGAGACGCCGAAGTGCAAAGTTTTAAAAGGTCGGCCATTTTCTTCAGAGTTAATAGGTGCATAGCTCTAGACTTCCTTCAGATTAGCTCAAAAACATCACCTTTCCAAAACACTGAATGTTCTTGTATAAACCAAATCAAATCTGGACTCTGGGCCTGTTTTTGCAGAGTTATTTCTGAATGTTTGGTAATGGTATTGTTTGGTGCAGAAGGGTTTATGTTGTGGGGCATCTTAGGCTCCCAATGCTTTGGCCTAGCAAGACATTTTGGATACTTAAATCCTCCCAACTTTCGGTTTGGACATTACACCTAAGCAAGTAGAATAGGAACACGGATGAGGAAGTTTAGCTTATAGGAGCTTCACTGGCCTGATAGAACGTCTCAGGAATGAATTAGAGCAGAGACATTCTTGTCCAACATCAGTGTCTGACCTCCAAAATGTGCTTCAGAAACAATAGAAAAAATATTAATAAAATCCTCTTAACACAGCCACCTAAACCTTGTTGAAAGGAGAGAGAAGTGCATAGGTCACTCCAGGTCACATTTATGTTAAGGTAGACAAGCAGAGAGTTGACATTCAGACATGACTGACCAGTTTTAGACCGGCATCAGAGTCATCGTTTTAAGAACTTGTTCATCTGCTTTCTATTTTTTTTTTTTTTTAAGCTTAAAGCTTCCGCTTTTAGGCTCCGTCTGTTTCTCTGTGTTTTTGCATCTGAAGTGCAACAAGGTCTGGACAGAGAAAACGTTACAAAGCCGACAAAGTTCAAGACAAAAATCTGAAAGACAAAACCTGGAGAGCACTGCTTCCCGACACGAGGCTTAAAACCTGTGCACGTTCGTAGATGGGTGCACAGCTCAGGAAGTGGGTGCACGTGTATGAAAAACCCAGAAAAAAACTCAATTATACAGCATGCTTTGAAGTTTTTACCACTTCCTTTTAATCAAATAAAACACATGTCCTGCCTTTTCCGCTCTGAAAACGTGTGAAAATGAGCTTCTCTGGTTACAGCAAATCAAATATTCACTCGCATCTTGAAAGAACAGCTTAATCCTCTTGTGTCAGTGCAAACAGGACCCGACGCAACGACTCTGTGCGGAAACAAACGACCCGCTTTCATTCATTCTGCAAACCAGGACGAGACGGATGAGAGCAGAGGTAAAGCGAACTCATCGCCGTTTCCCCGTGGCTTCTGTCGCAACTCGCCATCACGCCCGCATGTGGCGCTTTCTCAACGAGCCCGATGACGACAACGTCAACTGCTCCAATTGTCATCGTTGCGGGAGGGCAAGCTGCATTGTGCACGTCTCGTTTTTTAAAATCTCTGACTGATATCAGCTGCTATCTGGCAACTAAGATAAGAGCAATAAAGAAATAATCTGTGTGTGCTGAATGAGTGTAGAGGAGTTTTCATGGGGTCAAGTCATGAACGTGATGAACGAAAGAAAAGATATTGGCGTCACATCAGGAGAACAACTGCGGATGCCAAAGATGGAAACCCGCCGCCGTTCACGAAAAATAAATCATGTCTTTAAATGAGCAGATGTATGCAGAAAAAGGCTCGGAGTAATTAAACGCCAGAGAAGTTTTACATCCACGCAGAAACGTGTGAGAGCACGATCGCATTAATGCAGGCGGTGGGAAGCAGCACAATGACACATTTTCCAAAGTGCTTTGCAATGAAAATGAACAAAAGGGAGAGGAGGCGCAGTTTGCTGAGCTAAAAGCTCTGGAAGCAGCTGAAACGTATCACTTTTTTTTTCTTTTTTTTCCTCTCACTTTAATGGGAAACGGAAAATCATCCGGCGAGCGGCGTCAAAGCAAGTTTTTGAATATTCATAGCTGTGGCTGCTGCAAGGCTTCTACGGGGACGACGTGCTTTTGGAGACGGAGAGCGCCGCCTCGTCGGGAGACGGAGGCTTTGTCTTCACCGCAGTCTCCCACTCAGACCAGAAACAGCCAGAGGGGATTCTCACAGTGCTGACTGAGAAAGAGAAACCTCAAACTGCTGCGCCTGCGTTACGGTTCGACACCGAAGCTTTCCTGCACATGCAGCTGCCAAGGAAACAGCCGTATTGTGTTAGAAGACATGTCGAAATTAAATACCGACAGGAAAACAGTCTAGCACAAATACTTATCATAAAAATAAAGCAACTCAACAAGTTAGGATTTAAACAGCCCATAACTTGAAATGGGAGCCTTTACAATAAGTCAATGTTTATGAAGAATTTTACTAAACGCTCTTACTCATTAAAGTTTGATTTAGAACCTTAAATGTTTGTAAAGGTGCAGCAGAGATTAGATCAGTCAGACTGAACAAAACTCGTATAGAAGCAACATTTGAATTTTAGTTTTGTCAATAGTTTTTTGATGCGCATTACTGGTAATTCTTGGTTCTGCAGTTTGAATGTGGCTTAAAAACTTTTCAAACCACGTCTTACGTGACATTTCACTGTAACTCCGCCGACAACCCCCCCAAAATTGGTCGTAAGGAATGTTCCGGTTCATTTATCTCCCAATAATGAGATGGGATTTACGCCCTTCAATGTAGCGTCTGCAAAGTTCACCGTTGCTGTAAAAAGTGGATGAAAACTACATATTTAGTCTTTTCAGGTTTGGAGCTAAACCTGCAGACTGAACCGGGCGTGTTATCACAGATAAAGATGTCATTATAAGAAGAAGTCTGTATCATCTGCATAAAAGAGAACCACATTCGCATCTAGCTCTATTTATATATTTAAAAAAGCATAAATACTTACGAGGCATGGCTCCACCGCTCTCCACCGCTTCTCTGCTTCTTCTTTGTTGCAGCTTCAGCTGAAGAACTGAACCACAAAAAGAAAGATGCAAATGTCAGTTTAATGATGGGATGCATCTTTAAACCAGTGATGCATCATCTTTTCCCCACCTTGGCTCTCAGACATGCAAAACGGCTCAGAGGTAGAGTCATTGCCCAATGGAGCAGAGTCCGAAGGAACAATACAAGAATGTCGCCAGGTTTTGAGGATTTTATCCTCTCTATTGTAGCTGCAGTGAAAAGTGGTGGCCCTCTCTGAGAAGAGCTGATTGTGTCACACAGTACAAAGGGAAGTTGAAGAAGCTCACACTCTAGCTAGTTCCTGTTTCGAGTTTGAGATGAGCGGTATCACTTGATCTTCACTCACAGTCTGCAGAAAACAAAACACAAACGACGAAAAAGAAACCGAATAAAGGTATTCTACCTGAAAGAGCTTCTGCTCACACCCCAATGCAAAGCTCTTCGATCTACAGAGCTGACGTCCGAGGTGACATGAAGTTACAGAGGAGCAGGAAGCGCTCGTCTGCACATCAGCGGTTTGAACTCTGCGGCGTGACAACACGAGGCGCTTGGGAGCATTTTTACTACTGAGGTCTGTGTCGCACATCCTCACTGTGGTTATATGTCAGCACTTTTTTCTTCTTCTCTCTAACAGGGGGTCACCTTATCAGCCGTGCCTCGGAGGAGGATCAGGCAGCATAGAAATGTCAAGAACACGTTCATGAGCGCTTTCGGCTCACTTCGCTTTTCACCGAATAAGAAATCAACAGAGCTGTGTATTTCCCCCCCTCATGGATTTCTTCTCATTATTTTGGCCTTTTTTCTTTGTTTTTTGTTTGTCACACTTACAGGTTTCAGATCACCAAACTAAAAATAACACGAGACAAAAAGGGTAGAAATGCAGCTTTTCAAACTGATTATCACATACGTTCGGGGACAAAAGCTTTAAAAACACAACTGAGCTTGTGCAAAAAAAAAAAAAAAGGAAAGAAAATATTCCTGTTTGTTTCACCAGCCCTCTCATAACGTGTGAGCTAAATTACCCTAAAAAGGAGCACATGCTTATTTTTATGCAACCTTTCTGCCATTACCAAAACAAACTAATAGTATCTTTGTCTTCCCCAGGATTTTATGCATGCAAACATTGAACAGTCACAGGATACTTGGCGACTCATTTAATGCGATGGAAACTGTAAAAACATGAGCCGAGCTGTTTGGAAATCCAAGTTTCCCTGTTTTAGTCAAGCGGCGGCCATCTTGGAGCTTGACATTGCTAACAAACCTCAAACTTTCCACATTAAGACGCTAATTTAACCAATTTGCTTATCTTGGGACTTCAGTTCGTCCAACGTAGAAACAAAACGCTGCATTGCCGCAACATTCATTGTTGTTCCTTGAATCTGGAAGCATTTTGTGAAGTCGTCCAGCTTTGCAAAGAAATGAGAACAGAAACGGGTCCCTTTAAAGAAAAAGCACCGTAAGGACACTGTGCGTTGCCATTTTTATACATGGTTTTGCAAAAGTATAAATGGAAATCTTTTCACCCATTTCTCCTTTCTTTTCCATTCTCAACTCTACATCCACTTTTCTCATATCACTTTGTAAAATCTCTCTGTTCACCAAGATGCAAAAAAAAAAAAAAATGATGCACTGGTCATAATTCGGTTTTGTGTTTATTTGAATAAAGTCGTGCCCTCACGTTCAGAAATCGTGTCTTATTGAATCTAAAGAAGCACTAATCAGATGTCTCAGAGTTGTCAAAATTGTCCTGCAGACATATATGTGTGTCATTCCGCACAAAACACGCAAGACGGGTTCTGTGTTTCCGTCCCTGAAGGACCGAGGCCCCGAACCCCAGTTCCCATTTAAAGCACGTCCGATGTTTGCAGGCACAACGCGGGCGGCCGCAGTCGACAATCACAACACGAGTGTGCCAGCATCGTATGACAGCACCATGTCACACGAAACGCTTGTCGTATGATTTACGCTAAGAGATGGCAGGAAAGTGATGCAAGTGAGTCTATTCTGGGAGCGTGTGCTCATTGCTCAAATGTCAGCGTGCGGCACCGAGCGCGGCCCCGCTCAGCGGTTACAGCCTAGTTCAAGTGCAGCGCCGTGATGTAGGGGGAGCGAGTTCTGAAGTCTCAACGTTTTATTTGTTCATTTCTTCTGCCAGGGGTCACAGAGAGGCCGCAGACTCAATTCTGTTCTGTGAAACTGTCGCAAATAAATGTGTATCTGAATAGTGTGGCATGTTTTGTTTTCCAGCTAACCTAGATTTATACTGCATAGAAGCTGCAGGAACTGTGTGTTTGGGGTGGCAGACATTGTTTTCATCAGATAAAATTTGAGTCTCTGGACACATGCTGTCCAGAATCTCACTTGCTTGGAGAGCCGTCGATTCAAAGTGTTTTTCCACTAACTACTCAGACCGTTCTGAAAAGTGCGTGTAGCTGTGTGGTTCTCATACAGATCCACCAGCAGGGAGGAGGTCACTGAGTCATTTATAGCTTAACCAGAGATTTATTGTTGAATTTCAGGAAAGTCAGCTGGAAATGAGATGGAAAATAATATAGTTAAAATATATCTCCAATTGAAAATTTCCCATGGTCATTTGTCTCCATATTTCACTAAATGGAAGTAGAGCAGCTGAACTGACCCCCCCGTCCTGCTACGCTTGCATGTCTTGTTGCAAAACTTTTGGAATGGTTGCAGAAAAATAAAAATAAAAATCAGCTTGATAAACACTGAGACATTTATCTTCGTCTTTCCACGTGCTTTTTTTCTCCCTGCTGTACTTACAGAGCTTGTTTGTCCCCGGGGAGACACAAAGACATTTAGTTATGGCGCTAATATATTGCCGTAACGCCGAGCTCAGGACTTATGCTGCAGACAGATCTAGATCTCCCTCTGGAGTTTTGTTTTGAACGTCTTTCACCACTGAGACATCCATTAGATATGCATCTGCCAGTGGCTTTCTATAACTTTGCGTTACAAAACAAACATAATCAGTTTTCTGTTTTGTAGCTTTGGCAAGCACTTCCTCCCATAAACATCCTTTACTTTCCTTCACTTTGAGCTCTTAGTGTGTGAAGAGCGTCCTCCTCATCCTCCCTCTGCTCAGTTTTCTGCTTGCAACCGCTGTGATCCTAATCCCTCAGGACAGAAAGACGAACCGGAGAAAAGAGCATTTCTGGAAACTTCCAGGAAGATGTCGTGTGTAAAAGAGACCTGCAACTAGAACTGAGGGGGGATATGACATTGCAGAATATGAAAACCGTGAATACTGTGGAGGGCTTTATGATACGAATTAACTCAAATAACGTTGTTTACAAGCAAGGATTTCTTTCTTTCACTTGAACGTTTTAATATCTTGTCACTTTGACTCCCCCACAGGGAACCAATCAACAAAGTCTAGATGTTGAACTGGGAATCGGTGGCACGACATGTGAACAATCAAACTGATTGGAGCGAATTGCTAAAGAAGGAGAGAAAAAGGCTTTTTGGCTTGTGGAAAACTGGAGCACTAAATCCCTCTGACGTACACTGAAGTATGAGGCTGAAGTGGGAACAGTTCCCTGGGTGTAAAAGCCGGTCGCAGCTCAGGTTGATGAGGTCATGCACTGATGTGTGCCTCGGTGCCGGCTGGCTGGGGCCCATCTGATGCTCAGCCACATGGAAGTCATCCGATCACCTCAGCTCAGAAAGGTGATCTGAGCCTTTCTGACGTGCCTCTGCATCTTCAGAGGCACGTCGCCTCTGAAGATGCAGCTCAGAAATTAGCTGTGTTTTGTGGTTAAATCCCGGCCCGGTGAGCGGGATTTGAACTGGTGACCTTTCCCAGGTTCAAATCTGTGCTCCTACCAACACCAAACCCCTCACCTTTTCTGAGGCTCAGGCACACGCGACGCTCCAACACGAATCTCACGGCGCTTTCATCCATGTCGCTGCCGACTGGCTGAGAGGGGCGGGGTCGATGCGGAGAGGTGGTGAAGTCTTTAGTGCGAAGGAATCCTCTTACAGAGTTAAGCTGCGGGCCACCGGGGGGGAGGAAAGAAATAAAAAAAAATCCTGCAGACTGAAGAAGAGTAAAAAGAAATAAAACAAAGTGTTTCAGCAATCGCAGGCGATCAAAATTGATTTCCATCCACTTGGTTCAATAAATAAATCAGAGCCTGCAACTTTCAAAGCACTGTGGAGCTCAGAAAGCGCCTCGCCTTTTGTTGCAAAGGCTAACTGAGACGAATGTGTGTGTGTGTGTGTGTGTGTGTGTGTGTGTGTGTGTGTGTGTGTGTGTGTGTGTGTGTGTGTGTGTGTGTGTGTGTGATCCAGCAGGCTGCCACAGCTGTTGCTTTACTCAGTCCTTCAGCCGGTGACAGACACAAGCAGGCGCTCGTCCTGGCCGCACGTTCAAACGGCAAAGTCTGCTCACTTAGCGCCTCTGGTCTGAGATCAGTGCGCACCTTCATCTTCATCAAGGCCTGAAGAAATCGTTCTAAACACATCAACACTACAACTGTGTTGACTTTTCCTCCTGCCCGTGTCTTTTTCTGACTGTTACCTGCCGACAAAGTGGATTTAAGACTAAAGATCGTGTTTGATTGATTTAAACTGCTGCTGTACTGGGAATCCAAATCAATTGCGAGAAAACTAGCCACTCAGAAATCAGGTTGCGCTGATAAAAAAGATGCAAATCATTCCACATTATCTCTACATCTACGATTTCTTTGAGAGAGCAATTAGATGCATGAGTTTCTTACCAGCAACGTGAGAAAAGTGTGAGCTTCCCCAATTGAAACTAATAATAATAATAAAGGTCTGTCTGCAGCACATCAGCAGTAACTAGAAATGATGCCATAAAGAAGAAGTTGAGCAGGGAGCTGACAGCGTCCTTCACTTCACCATCTACTGTCTGCTAGTTTCCAGCTAATGCAGCTTTTTTTTTCACATTTTATTGTCATATCAACTCATTCTACATAGTTTTTCCAACTCTTTTTCTCTTTTTTTTAAATATATAAACACCTGAGTCATTACTTTGGAGAACCATTGTTCTCTTTCAGAGCATGTTTACATTTTTCATCAAGAAAATGAAACATCTTTCTATGCAAATGAGCTCAAGTCAAGCGAGCTAGAGATGGAGAGACACCAGCTTTCAAGATTTTAAGATTATTAGCTAGATTTAGGACTGGTTTTATTTTTACTGGGTTTTATGGGTGCAATTCTACCACACAAACCGTAATATATTGCTACTGAGTGCTATATGACTGCGTGCATAATGTCCAAATCTGTGAAGAACTTCCTGGACTCCCATTAAGTCATAATTATCCAAGTACATTCTGCATGTCTGCAAGTGTTTTTAGTCAAACCTGTTGAATGCGGCACAACCAATGAAAAGAGGGAATAAAGAGGTCAAATCATTAAGAAAACACAACTGAGGTAACGTTTCCCAAACTCAACTTTTCAGTAAAAGTCACTTTGCTAAAATGGGATGAATATTTCTTAGTAATCTGATGGACTTTCTGTGGTTTATGTCTGCCGCTAACCCGAAGTAAAAACAAAGCAACGTTTGCCGGGTTACCGCGAGTCACATCTCCGTAGCAGCTGTTGCTACCGCCACCGCCGTGCTCCACCATGTTGTTTTTATTTGTTTCAAAAAAAGAAAAAAAATGGGAAATTTGACAATTTACAGAGAAATATGAATGTTTTTCATCTTCGTAGGAGGTAAGAGAGACCGTTACAGTTCCTTAATATTGATAAATGTGCTGGTTTCACCTGCAGATTTTTTCACCTCTAACATTTGAAGTAAAAAAAAATCTACCAGTGGAAATAGGACTTTAAAAAAAATAAGAATGTTCAGGAATCATAGACTCAAAACAAGCTCTTGCTGAAAAGTTACTTATACGTTAGTTTTTCAACTAAAAACTGGGGCAAAAACACAAAGAAATGTGCAACACAACGTTGTGTTGCAAATAACCAGCCAACCTTATCGGGCTCTTCAAGTATCAGCAAGAATCCTGGAAGCAGCCGCTCTTAATTCGGCCGGTGACCGATCGCCATCAGGGAGGATCAGATTTACGGTGGATTCTTAATTTGGAAAGAACGAATTGAGCATAAACGTGTGAAGCTTGACCTTCTGGAGGCCGTGCTGCCGTTGATGTCGGCCTCTCTAGGATCTGATCTCGTTTCTGCCGTCGTTTCAGCTTCGTGCAGCTTATTCTGCCTGGAAGAGCAACAGTGACTGTGACAAAGAGCTGCTGAGGACAGACATCGTTTCAGTCCACATCAAACAAAGTCTGTCCACAAAGTGAAAAAATGTTTCATATGCATTCGTCTCTCACTGTCTGGGTTTTGATCTTTCAAATAATTTCGGAAAATCCTGACTCGCAACTTAAACCCAGTCTCCTAACAGCTTTGAGATTCAGATTTGACCAGACTGAATTTGAATATAGTCGTTCTAGTTTTTTGTGTATAGGGGGGAGAAAAATATTTGACTATTAAGAGAATGGAAGAAAGCTGGATGGCAACCCAAAATAACTTTCTCTTAGAAGTATTCTCCCTGGCTTTCACTTAATATTTTATTTCTTTTGTAAGTTTCTTAATTTAGTTTATGTGCTTTTTTCACATCATAATTAGTTGTTTTTTGTGTGTGTATATATATGTGTCACTGTAGGTGCTTTAGCTGTTTTTTTTTTGTCTCTTGGGAAACGGTTGAATGACAATAGTTGAACATTTAGATCTGCCAGGTGTGTCGGATAATTTGGGAAGGGTTCACCTCTCTGCATGTTGTCGTGTTTTTTGCTCTTCTGTGTGAGATGGGAACGCTTCGGTTGAACGCTACGGGCTGGATGGAACGGGGATGCGTTAACCACAGCGCCCTGTCAGCGCAGAACATCATCTAAAATAGAGCCTGGCATACATCCTCCGACCACTGAAACGTTTGGTCTCGTTGTGTTTGAAATATGAGGTCAAACTGATTTTTGAGGATGCGTTCGCAAGAGGAAATGAACAAGGAATGAATTAAACAGATGAAGTCACCAGATTTTGCTCCGTCGTTAATACAAAGTTCAAAACATAAACGACTGCTCAGAATATGTACTAAAACCAACTTCGGCGTATCAAACGAACACAAGTGGAGTCTGAAGCCGGGTTGCTGAAGCCACGCAGCTCACATTTTGATGTACTTCTTGTAATCGTCTTCTCAGGTTTCACATCACGCCCCGGTCATGACTTTGTTTTATCTAACCTCATAAAAAGTCACGAATCTGAGCCTCGTCTTTTTCACAGCGAGAGCTCGGTGTTCTTCAAGTTCTCTTACTCACGCATGCATCTCTGAAATGATGCTGTAAACAAGCGTCAGATGAGCTCAAAGTCGCAGCTGCTCCTCCGCCTGCTGTTGTGATTCTCTGATGATGGTTTGTCTTGTTTGCTCCTCGGCAACGTTGGAGTACAACAGCATCTCTGTCTCTTCAGGGGAAGTTGTGGGCTCCCTACAGGAAGCTGCTGGAGTCAAAAACGTTCTAAGATTGCCATGGTCTCAATTTCTGTTAGTCTTTGTTTAGCACAAAATTTAGTTCATCGTCTGTTTGCGGCAGTCAACAGTAATAGCATGTGCACGGGAAATGACCTCCCCTGTAAATTTTCTAAACAAGCAGAGGAAGGTTTCCTTAAGGGAAAACCAACACTGCTCATCGCTTTAAAGACACCATCTTCATTGCAACACACGGTGGCAGCACGCTCTTTTTTTAGCAGCTAAAAGGAAGCTGGTCTGATACACGTGCCTAATATGTGTGTCATCCAATACACGAGACTGTGTATCGGAGCAAAACTACAAAGGACTTGTAGTTTCTAGTAGGACAACAACCTGAAAAACACTGCCTGAGGTACAACAAAATTGTCTAGTACAAAGTGGCCCAGTCAAATGCCAGCTGTATAATTCAACTTAAAGTTCACATATATGATTTCAAATACATTATTTCATAAAATCTAAATAGCATCAAGGAGAGAGTATCAACAAAGTGAAAAAAGCTTCTGCACTTTCTACTGCAGCTTTTGGTGTTGATGTCCGATGATGAGCAGTGACACCCCTGACTAACTTACACTGTACACTCAACCGACACCAACCCACCCCCTCTTCCTTCTTCTTCTTCTTCTTCAATTACATATCTCATAACCTCTGTACTCTCTGCCAAAGGTTTAAATAGCAAGACCAGCTGCTCTCTTCGCTTTATCCAGGATCTATGCATCTTTGGGAGTATCTGATCTGTAACAGATTATTCTTATGTGATCTGCTGGTTGTAGTGCATGTACTGGCCTCGGGGTGGAGACTTTAATCGAAATGCAGCACAGAGTGAATGAGTCTAACTGTATGTGTAAGCATGTGATAATTTACTGCAGCTCTGAAATGCACAGCTCATAGAAAACAAGAACAACGGCGCCCCCTACTGTTGAGAGGGAGATAAAGCTGGCCACGATGCAGAAGGGGAACCAACCCCTGTTCAGCTTGACGTATCTTAGCCAAATGTTCTTAAATATGCTTCAAATGGGTAATTGAGTCCTGATCTTATACTGTAAGGGCCCACGTTAATTAAACATAGTTCTTGGAATCCAATATGTTGTTATTTTCTAGCTTCATATGGCATAGAAAATGACTTGAATTAACATAAAGAAAATAAACAAGGAACTACAGACCGTATTAAATGAAAAAAATCAAAGAAAATGATAAGATTACAAAAGAAAATCCATGTACCTTTTTTAATAGTTTGTGGTTGGAGTTCAACAGTCCGCCGCTAGAGGGCGACAAAAGCTGACGCCACAGGCCGAGAACGGAACCAACATTTCACTTACAACAAGGTGGGACCATAATCGTGACGGACTATCATGGCAGCCAAAACAGTTAGCAAAACAAGTAAATGTGGTGCGTTTTAAGCATTAGGTAACGTTTTTTTTTTTTGTTTTGTTTTGTTTTTTGTTAGAATGTAGATATTTAAAAACGCGGTCGTTCATCTCGGCGTCGCGCATTGAAGTTAGCGTTTATTTCTTCGCGTTGTTTGCTCAGGTAAAGCCTGCCGGAGTTTGGCTATGTGGGGGGAGATCGACCCTCCCGTGAAAGCCCAGCCCAGGCCGCGCGAAAGCGAAAAGAGGACGGCCTTACCGGAGGAACCCGCGGATCCTTTACAGACATGCGACCTCTACATACCCAAACACAGAGCAGAAACCCAGCCTGTCGCCCGGCTGGACCCCTCGGTGAGGGTTCTTCCCTCATATGTCTCTCCTTTTTTTTTTGGTTGGATTCTTTGTGTTTCTCTGCTATAACTGCGTTCCTAACCGCAGCCAGAGCACAGCTGCGTTGGAGCCATGATAGAGTCGGTAGCCATGAGCGGGAGCCCCGTGAAGAGCCAGCAGATCGGAGAGGCCGAGCTGACCTTCGGGGAGCGGAGGGAGGAGCTGCTGCATCAGTACCGCAGCAGGCCGCTGGTCTTCCTGGAGAGGTATCATGTAAGTGCCAGCGGGACGCAGGATGAGACGGCGACGAGGGAACAACTGTGCAGCCTATGTGTGTGGAAGTGTCCTTATGTGTCTTCTGGCTGCCAAGCGAAACGTGGGGAAAGGTTTGGAAGCTTTATAGATCGGATTGGGACTGATTAGTGATCTGAGTGTCTTGTTTTTGTTGTTCCTGAGAGCATTCATAGACTCTGGTCTGGATTGTCACAGTGCTCTTGGAGTTGTGGCCTTTCAGAACGTGTCTGTAGTTTGGTGGTTGTTTCACCAGCATCGGTGAGCACTAAGTTTTTGCTTTTGTTTTCGGGTCGACTCGCACGCTTGGCACCAACACGCTTTCATCTCTGGGACACTTAGGACCCACTTTAAAAGCAATATCAAAAAGAGAGAGCTGGCATTTAAAAAGGCCCTGAAATATTGAGGTAGGGAAACATAAACATAGATAAATGTAAAAGTATAAATGTTGCAGTATGCAAATACAATGAGCTATGGTAAATTGGCAGCTTTTAAACAGCGAAGGGTCCCACCAGATCCTCAGGACAAATGAAACAAACCGAAATGTCCACCCTGACCACAAGGAGGCCTGCAGAGGTCATTCTTGTTTCACTGACAAAAGCACAGTAAATAAATAACAGTAGTAATTTCAATGAGAGGGACAAAAAGAGCTCAACTTACTGATGTCATGTCTCTTGTGTGATCATCAGGGCCACCTGAAGCCTGAGCACCTTCCTGCTTTCGCCCACGTCAGCTCGGACCCGAGGGCCCAGCACTACAGCCGGCTGGTGCAGACGCGACCTGCGGGATGCACCAACAAGACCAGGGTCAGAAACCAGCGTTACGCTGCCCTCCGAGCGCTACAGAAAGGTAGGGTTCCCATAGGGACGGCTGTGGAGGAAAAACCGGTGGTATCATCCATCAAGAACCATGGTGGGATGATTAAAAGTCGATATTTTTCCAGGGCTTTAACTTTGCAGAATATAAAAAAAAACAGTTGTTCCTTTCTCCTGTATTTAACAGAGACAAATAAGTTAAAGGTAATTTACTAAGTGTTATTTTTAATTTTGATCCGCATTTCATGGATAGAGTATGAAACATACTCTAGCGACACTTAAAATCTAAGTGAACAAAAAAAAAAATCTAGAGAAAATTACATACAGATGAAATGACCAGTCTTTATGCACAATCTGGAGGCGTATGTGCCTCTGTACATTTGGGAGCCCAACGTGAAATGAAGTAAAAATGGAGGCATTCAGTATTTTCAATATTCTATGTATTCTGGGTAAATCGTGAAAAATATAAAAGAAATAGTCACTAATTCTCATTTCACTGCTTAGTGTTTCTCTAGAGCATTTTTAATAAACTGGAGTTGTAGTTGTTGATCATTTGGTCGTCTTATTATTATTATTCTTCTGGCAGACGGCGAGTATTTCAGTGAGGAACAGATGCGGATGAGGGAGCCGCTGCTGTACGAGCAATATATCGGCCAGTTCCTGACTGATGAAGAGGTGACTCGTATTTTTTCAAATCCACAATATTTCTGTGTGTGTGTGTAGCTTCCAGGTGACCTGGCAAAACTCACCGGCTTTGATTTATGTTCCAGGTTGTGGAGCGCTCCCAGGAGGCCATGCTGGACGGTGCGCAGGAGGGACAGGGCGGCGGCCCGTGCGGGCTCGCCAATCTCCTCCTGAACTCCTACCAGGAGCGGCTCATCCAGAACCGCCTGCAGGAGGAGCAGGACAGAGAGGACGGCGCCCAAGAGGAGGACGAAGATGACGACGGTGAGGAGCTGCTAAAAGAACGGCCGAACATATGAGTTTTGTTGTTTCGTTTCGTCTCAATCCGGCTGTTTGCTGCATAGATGATGGAGTCCAGCAGAGAGGATGGGAGCCCACTGCAGAGGAGAAGGCTCTGATGAGGGAGGAGTTCATCAGTCAGATGCATCAGCGATTCCTAGACGGAAAAGACAAAGACTTCAACTACAGGTCAGTCACAGTTAGCGCGGTAAACTTCTACAAACTTCCCCTGAAGCGAGGAACGTTTTTGCTTTTTCTTTTCTTTATTTGCAAGTGAGGATAAAACGCGACAGTGAAAGTAGCTCCTGAAATGTTCAGTGAAAATGTTTCACCCCGAGAAGATGAAGCACTCCAGTGTTTGTGTGTTTCAGCGAGGTGGACGACAACCCCGACTACGATAACCTGGACATCGTCAGCAGAGACGCCGAGGATAAATACTTTGATGAAGATGACGACAGCGAAGAGGAAGAGATGGAAAGAGATGATGATGATGAAGAGAAAATGGCTGAATAGGGAAGAGTTCATTAGAAACAACCGAGTCTGTAAATAAGAGTGTAGAAATATAAACTGCTGGATATTGTTGATTTCTTTTTTTTTTTCTTACCGTTTCAAGAACCTGCAATAAAACTTTCTGGTCTTCTGCATTTCTGAATTTTTTTAATATATACTATATACAACACACCGAACTTGGGGCACTGATTTATAGTTAAACATGGAGAGTAAAAAAAAAAAAACATTACAAGATGTTCCACCTAGTTATGCTTCCTTGCTCTTGCATGTCAGCCATTTAGACCAGCATTGTTATAAAAATGTCCTTTAATATGTAAAAGAAATGTCAGTTTTTCCGTAGAGGGAATCTCCTCCATGACCTCCCACCAGTGGTCCAGCTGGGAAGGGAGTTTCTTTAGCCAAGACCATGTGATTGATCTTGGCTAAAGATACTTATCTCGTTTTTGAAACACTTCTCCAGATAGCGGCCCAAGCAGAAACGATCTGGGGTCTTTGGGGATGAGATAACCCAAAAATGATCCTGGTAGTCTGACAGACTCCGTCCCAGTAAGGTGCCGACTTTGGGCAGGACCAGAGTACATGAGACTGATGTTCTGATGTCCACACTGTCTCCAACAGGGCTGTCCTCTGTCTACTAGTAATCTGAGGCGTAATAAAGTATTTGATGAAGCAGTTCCATCTGAACTGCCTCCATCTTTTAGAAGTGGATGTCTGTTGTGTCACACTCATTGGAAGCCAATCATCCTCTGTAATTTTTACTCCCAATTCCCTTTCCTATTTAGGCTACAACATTTAAACAAATCTCTGTTCTCAAGATTATAATTCCTTTTCAGTTGCTCAAATGTTTTAAAGGTGTCACCTTCTACAAACTGGCACAAAGCCACACGTCCTCCATCATTTTAGTCAATGTCCAGATTTTATTTCCACCTTGAAACACACAAAAAAGACTTTAAACAACATTGCATGAAAACTGTCTTGTAACAATTGTTAAATGGAACAGGAAGACGGTCAGAAAAATGTCATCTATCAAACAAAGATACTTTAGAAAACTTAAAATATAGCCCCTCTATATAGACATCTCTATTTACATATACATATAAAAACAAAGCTCAAAATTGATGTCTATTCACATTATTTGATCCCTGGGATCCTAGTTCAGTTCCACAGATGATCTAAAGCTTCTCTTGGCTTGATGGTAATAAAATTATCAACTCTTTGTAATTTCTTGTCACAGGAAATGCTCCGTTCCTCCCAGAGTTCGTTGCATCACAGCCCGCATCGGCGAACTGAAACGACCCGCTTTCATCCGAACTCGTAAAAGACGCAATTTCAAAGCGTAATATTCCTTCTGTATTCTCGAAGCCTCCTTTTGCTCTCTTGCAGCTTCCAGCTGCGTTTTCAGAGTTTCTCTCTGCAGCTGATCCAGATCCATCGAGTCCACGTCGGAACCGGTCAAGACCCCAGACGTGGAGTTCTCCACTATGTCCGAGATGTGAGTGCTTTCCGAATCGCAGACGCTTCTGGGAGGAAAGGGGAACGTTGTTCAGATGGCACCACTGATCCAAGTGAGTGAACTCCTACGATTTACCTCGTCTCCGACTTCGTCTGTGATTCGAATGGATCCAAGATGCTCACATCCGTGTGACCGTCGCGTGCGCTCGAACCAGGCAGAGTCAAAGTGTCGGCAGGAAGCCCTGCAAACTTTAAATATTGGAGGTACCGCGCATTTGAAGGTTTTCCCGCTGACCTTGCATGTGGCTTGTGTACTCACCCTGCAACTCGTGGACTTTCTGCTCCGCCGGTTCTTGTTGGGGAGACGTGTTTGTGGCCACGTCCGCCGTCTCACTGTCCACCGGTTCCTGGGGCGTCTCTCCCTCATTGCTCTTTGTCTTTTCATTGCGGTTCGTCTCTGAGTCTCCGTCTCCTTCCTCGTCGTCTTTGGGAAAGAAAATTCGGTTTAAGTAAAGAGATTTGGTAACATGTGAGGATGTGCGTCTCTGCAGGGGGATCAGTTTGTCAGATTTGGTGAAAATGCAGGCCGGCTTCACCAAAACGCGTCGCAAAACCATAAAAAGATGTTAAAAACGTAAGTGAATACTAAATTAGATAAAAGCTCCCATTCTACTGTCTTTTACAGCAGATAATAATTTTTTTGTTGACCTGCATTGTGGCTTGTACTGCATCTTTACCTTCCAACATGTGTTGTAAATGACTAATTCAGTAATCTGTTGATTATTCTGACGATTAATCGGATAAAAAAAAACCCAAAAAAACTAGATGCTGCCATAGCAGCTGTGTTAATATTGGATATCAACATTGGCCCATATATTCACATTTGTGTATCCCTAATTACTTTTTTCAAACACATTTCTTGATCCCGATTGTAAAAACTACACAATCAACCACATAAATTCTCGTTTAAAGCAGGTCTAAATGAGAAGGTTGTGAACACGTGGATATATTGAAACTCATGAACCTTTGCGTTGATGTTCCGCGGCGGCGGTCTGACAGCGACTCCTCGTCTGCGAAACGACACAGAAGAGAAAACCAGATTTAACAGAAAACCTCCATAGAGTGAAATGAGCTGGCGTCTCAGTACTTCACAATATCTAATTTCATATCAGAAACAAACTTCTTTATGTCTGAATATAACCAACTCTTCCTCTGATCCATTGGTGTGAGAATATTTTAGATCATTAATCAAAGGTTTGACTTCTCATGGAGATGAAGAAGCTTTTGATCCCATTTCTTCCAAAGGGTTCCTTGACATTTTTATATTATTGCCATTGGGCTGCAATGAAAGTCTGACTCAGACGGCATATCTTTACATATATGGTACCGGTAAAGTGGAGATTCATCTCAACAGCCAAGGTCATAAAATCTGGGTGATGTTGGTAAAAAAAAAAACCATTGGAGAAATTCAGCTGGTCGTCTTACCATTGATATTCTTTCGAGAAGAACAATCGAGTTCATCTGCAGCGCGAGTTTCTCAGTTGTTGAGATGATGAACCTCGGATCAGGTTCTGAAACGGAGCAGGCGTTTTCAGAAGTCCATCATTGGTCAGGGGTTATGATACAAACTCTGACTGGAGGAGCAGGTTTTGTTTGAACGATTTGAAAGAGCACGCCGTTTGAAAGAGCACGCCGTTTTAAGGATGCTGTTGGAGAAGTGGAGAGACGGCCAGAGGGAGCTGCAGCGCGTCTTTAGATTCAGAGACAGGAACTGTGAAAGCATGAGGAGGTCTGGAGTGGCAAACGATATGCAAAGAGAGGTTCTGGAGAGCCGTTAGACGCCAGTGAGGCGTGCTGTAGGAGTGCATCAAGGCCGATGGTGGGGGACTTTAAGCAGCAATGCTTGGTGTAGAGAGAGAAGAGATTGAGGAAAACACTGGAGGTTCCGGGATTCAGGAGGTTTAGGTTCTCCTTTAGAAGTGACCGGATCAGGAATGAGAACATCAGAGGGTCAAACAATACTTAAGAGACGTGAGTTGGACATGTTTAGAGGAGAGACGATTATTATGTCGGTGGAAAGATGCTGATGTTGGAGGCTGAGAGGAAGACCAGAAAAGGAGGACTTGAAATGAGTTGGTGTAAAGGCGAAGGACGCAGAGGACAGGATTAAATGGAGACAGATGATCCCTGAAGGGAAAATCCAAAACAGAAGAAGAAGACATTACCTTGAGGAGCACAGAGGTTTTCATCGTCTTCATCGTTACCATCTCCATCCTTTTCCATTTCATCCGGTTCCTCGTCTTGTTTTTCGTCCGAATGGTCTGAGTCGTTTCTCTCTGTCTCTTCCTCGGCCCACGATAACCAGCTTCTACAGCCTGAGGGAATCCCATCGTCGTTCTCAGAGTCGTCTGTAGCGTCTTCTCCCGACTCTCCTGATCCTTGAGCGTCGCCATTGTCTCCATTGTTCTGAAACGACTGACCTTTCTTCAATTGGACAATAAAGTTATTGGAACCCTCCCACCCAAAAAAAAACAAAAAAAAAAAAACAGTTTTTGTGTCCAATTGTTACTCGCTAACTTTATATGCCTTTTTCCCTTTTCTGTATCCCTCAGTGGACAGAAGGTTTTCCTGTGATGAGGAAAAATGTTCATTAATGAAAAAGAAAACTGTATTTTATTTTAATAGGTGCATAAAACAAACCTAAATTACATCAAACCAATGTTGCAGAGGTTTTCCACCGGAGTATATGCTGAGTTTCCATTTTTTAGCTGAGCCTCTTCCTCCAAACTCCTCAAAGGCAGGCGGGGTGAACATGCGGCCTTCAAACTCGATGCACTTCTCTCCTGGAGAATAAATTTGCTTTTAAATTTTACATAACAGGATGTTTTTCTCATTCATTTGCTGACATAATATTGAAAAATCCCCTAAGAAATAATGGCATTTCTCCACTAAACCTTTAGCTTGTTGTCACGATCCGATTAATCATTTCACACAAACTCGATGTTCTGACCTTTCGCCAGCTTTTGGGCATCCATCATCCCCTCCTTGACCCCACAGGTTACAGGCCACAGTTCTCCATCTTGCAGACAGAAAAGCCGGTTCACTTCTCAAATATTCCTCAGCAGTTACAGCGAATAGCAACATTTGCTCTCTCAATGAAATGCGGTTTTGGATGCTTAAAGTCACTTTCAGCAGGGTAGATTCGTTTATAAACTGAATACCTTCGTGTGTCAGTGGCTGGTTGCGGTCGTCTTCCTCATAATCGTCTTCATCGTCATCGCGATAGTTGATCCACTGTCTTTTTCTCAGGTTGCGTTCTCCGTCTAAACGTCGTTCTTCCTGCCCAGAGTCGGACCGTAGTGAAGATCTTCTCTTCATTCTCTCCTCTCACTCACTGCAGTCTGTCTGGAGGAAGAAACTGAATAGAAAGTAAAGGAAATGTGAGCATAACCGGTTATTCCATGAAATGAAAATTTAAAAAAATCCAGCGATTTCCCATGGTGAATTTTTTTGTCTCAAGCTTCAAGATTTTAGGTTTTGCTGTGATGAGACAAGAGATCACATTTACTGCAGTTGTTGATGCAGTGCTGATGAAACATACTCTCATATAGTTTCTTCTATATTGGCTTAAGCTTAAAACTTAAAAAAAAAAGAAACATCAGGCAAAGGAAAAGAACCACAGAGAGCAGCAGTCGGCGGGTCAGTACTACTTCAGATCTAACAGTTTTATCAGAGAAGTTTTGTTTTGCCGAAACTCTGCTTTTTCACAGGGAGTGGTCAATCTCAAATAAGTCGAGAGTTGACAATTTTTTTATTTTTTTTAAAAAACACGTTCAGATGACACCAGGTGGCTTTCTGCATATTTTAACTTGAATTGTCGTTGGAAATTAAAGTTAAATCACTGAAATTATTTGATTTCTCTTTGGTGTTAATAAAGTATTTTTGAATTTGAAATATACTCAGGTTTTCTCTCTCTCTCTCTTTCATGTTAAAAGTTTGCCTTGATGACCTGAACTATTTCAGTGACGACACATTAAGCAGCCCGTTCATTTTAGAGCAACTGTCAAATACGTTGAGGAAGTTTCTCTTTCTACTCACTTTCTTCCAACCAACGGATCAAAGATGATCTTCAGCTGACTTTGCCTCTGTCCGTCATCAACCTTTAAATGTAATTTACTGTCTTTTTGAAACCGTTCTGCCTCGCTCTTTCCAAACAATTACTAAATGTTCTTCAAAAACAGTCAAGTCTTCCAGAGATGCGTCTATCGGATGAATATCTTGTTTACAAGCAGCTATCTAGATGATTTCCCTCCTACACATTAGTCCAAATCATTTATCTGTGGTTCTTACACAAAAAAAAACAACAACTTGACATTGATTCAAAAAAAGGAGTCTTGAGAACCAAAGACAACTCACCAAGCGACAGCGAACGTCTTTCTTCTGCTGCTGCGATTGACGAGCGGGAGAAATGAAACAGAAACTTCAGACAGAAACTTCAGCTGCAGACACGCCCCACGTCGTCTTCCTCCTCTGAGAGCGAGACGCATCGCAGCACGCCTCAGTTTAAGGGACTCAAACGGTGATTCATGGAGAATCCGCAGCAACATCAGTCAAACGAAACCAGATGTTTCCTGGCATGAGAAAAACAAAATCAAAGTCAAGTTGTGACATTTTGAAGCAGAATGAGTCACTGATTGCTTCGGATGCTTTCGCATCGTCAGTCACTACTTGTGTGCTTCAGCTGTCGTTGCAGAAAATGAATAAAACAGGAATAGGAAGTTTGGTTAATTATTTAATATAACAAGAAGAAAAAACTTGAGACAGACCTGGATACAGCAGCATGTATACTAAAAAACACACACATTCTTGAGGAAAAGCACCAAATGCAGAATACAGTCAAAAGATCTATAAACAGATGAAATCATGAAATGTAACAGTAAATATTTATTTTCTCATCAGTTATTCACAGGCTTGTAATGATGGTGTTTGAAAACGCCTCTTTCAAAACCGTAAGATGATAAAACGGATTAGAGATTTCACATTTCCAAGATCGCTTGCCAGTTTTGCACAATAATAACACCTTGACCTTGAAAGGTGACCTTCAGACAGTCATGTTTGGGAATTTGAAAAATAAATACTCTTCAACCCATAAATGTTATTCATGAAAAGCGAAAAAAAAACAAAAAAAAAATCACTCAGTATTTTCTTAGCTTGTCCTGTTTGAATGTGAGCTCCGTAAAGACGTCGAGATAAACAGAGTTTAAGTGGTGAAACAGCAGGAAAGAGTTTGATGAAAGTAAAACTATAAATACCTAAAACATCACTAGTAAAACACAAACTGATTATATGAAGAAAAGCGAGGTGTAAACGGCCACTGCAGAACTGTTTGGAGAAATGAGAGAGCAACGTTTTTGGTCATCAAAGTAATAATGCCGGTCAGAACTGGAGCAGAAATGACATCTAACCGAATGCATGCAGACAAAATTTTAGTGTTCTGAATTACTGCTTTAATCATAAAGACTTACTCAACAGCAGGGTGAATTACAGGTAGGTGGGGCAAACCACAGAGGGCTTTTAAATTCCACTGTGGGGTGCCGGTTAGATACGTTTTTAAGCTGCTGTGCTCAGTTTTTCCTCATTTCCTCCACTTTTCTGTAAACTTCAAATGTTATCATTGCTACTTTCTGTCTCGTCTCTTTGTCAACGTTCGGCTGTGACATCTTCTGATAAAGAAATTAATGATATACAACGAGGAACACATTTAAAAAGAAAAGTTGTAAAAATGATGAAATAGGCACATTTTGAATATAAAATCTGCACCGATAATATATTTTGCTTGGTGTGCTAATTGCCAAATCCTGGCATCTAATTTCTAGTAAAACCTAAAAAAAGAAGGCTAACTAGTCCTTTACAATGTTGACGCTAAAACTTTTCTCGTCAGTTTTTCAAGTTATTTAGCATCAGAGTGTAACATTCCTCTTGCAATTTCAAAACTTTAAGCTGCATCTTTATTTTTTCCTTCTTCAGCTGATCGATATCCATCGCATCCACGTCTGAGACCGCCGAAGCTCCGTCCTCCGTCTTCTCTGAGACATTCGGAACGTATGACACTCTGATGCTTCAGGAGGGAGAAGAAAAATTTGTTTGGTATATTTGCATACTTTGTTGACTGAAGCAATGCGTTTCATCTTACTTTTCCGATTCCGCTTCGTCATGATCCGGTTTGGCTTCATCCGCATCGTTAACCTCTTTATTAACAAACGGAAGCAGCAGGTTTGCAGGTGAAACCGAAAGACCTGTTGAGTCACCAAAAGACAAAGAAATGAAGGTTTCTGCTGCTTTTTTAAAAAAAGAAATGACTGATCCAATTAGTTTCTGAACTCACATATCGGGCCACTTGTTTGAGTTTTGACAAGTGGACCTGAGGTCATATCTGCATCTTGAATTGACCTCATATCCAACACTGCATCTTTCTCCTCATCTTAAACAAGGCCAGAATATAATAAATCAACTTAAATATTTTCAAAAAGACTCATGAAAGCCTCGTTTTGACTAACAGAGCCTGACCTGTCTTGTCACCATTGCTAATAACGACGAGCTCTGCAGTGGAGGCACCGAGGTTCTCGTTGATCAACTCGTTTCCGTCAGCGATGGCCGTGGCGCCTTCGGTCTCCTCGAAGTGTGCGTTTCCCTCCAACGGCTCACACCAGGCGCCTGTTCACAATCGACACAATAAAATACTTCATTTGTTTAAATGAAGAGGATTCGAGAAGTTACTTGAGTTACTCACAAACCTTTCGAACGCCGTTTCGCCTTACAGGCTCTCCACCTCTGTAAACGAACGCAGAATGAGTGTAAAATAAGCAGAAAGACTCAGAATAAACATCAGCAACAAGGACGAATCAGAGCCAACATAACAGAGCTACTCAGACATGCTGCCACCGCAACAACCGTGATGTATGTAAACTTCTGAGCTCACTCTCACTATTCTGTTGCCCTCAGTTTTATTTTCTTCACAGCACAACTTCATGGTTTCCAATCGATTTAATGGCCAATTGCAAATTTCAAACATATTAAAATGTGTTTGAAACAAAATTCGCATTCAAACAATCTGCATGCGGTCGACTATCTCACCTCTGAAAGCCTTCTGACGGTCACTTCAGTTTCCCTCTTCATCTCCTGCTCCTCGGCTTTGGCAGCATCTGAGTCCTTGTGTTTTTCTGCAAAACAGAAGAAACGCTCAGAAATACAAATTCTGGAAAAGATGCGGACAGCTTCCAAATTTGCTCACATTTTAATATACGACAGCAAACGGCAACGTAATTTAATGGTATTTTGTTTTCCCCAAGTAGTTTTTCCTTCAACGATTTCAACATATTGAGCTCTATTTACTTTCTGATCATCACTGAAGAGAAGCGTCCCCACAGCATGGCGCAGCCAACACCATGTATTACTTACCAAGTATAAGTTATCTGAAGGAGTGAAATCTATTTCACCCTTTGAAGAAAAAAACAAAAGACATTTTTTTTAGGTTTTATGACCATCAATTATTTGGACTGAGCGATTAACAAACTTCACTGATTGATTAATTTTTTTTTTTGAAGATTTAATTTGTGCAAAATCAGGATTTCGTAACATATGATGGCATATTAGGGCCACTGGATGTAAAAAAAAGGAGGAGGAGTAAATTTCTGCCAAAAAAAATAGTAGAAACTTTCTAGAAAAAATGTTTGGACTTTTGAAAAAAAAAAAAAGTTTAAAATTTTTAAGTTTTGAAACTCAAACGTTTTTTTGTTGGCAAAAATTCTCAGATTTTGGTGAAAACTTCAGTTTTTTCTAGCAAATTTCTAAGAATAATTTAAAATGTTTCTGAGATATTTTTAATGAAATTTACAAATAACTTGTAGTAGGTTTCCATCGTTCGGAGTGAAATTAGCCTAAAAATGATAATACATTAAATTTGAAAATAGTAACAATATTAAGAATTTATTTTTAAGGAAAAAAGGTGATTAAAATCAGATTTTGTATGTTCAAATGAAAATTTGAGTTAATTTTCAAATCACATCCTCAAGTCCCATTTATCGTATAATAGTTTGCTTTCTACTTAAATTAAGGAGCTAAAAACGTACCTAATTTTCAGTGTGAGAGGAAAAATGTCAAGTTTTTAAGAAGAAGAATAAAACTATATTCCCCCAAATTTGCAGAAAAGCAATCCTTCCACAAACACCGGTATCAGCAGTAACTTCACTAAATGATTTTTGTGGGAAACATCACCTCTGGCGTCGCCGCTGTTGTCAGGGTAATCAGCATCAGCAAGCACATCCCCGTTATCCGTTTCATTTCCATTCTCGGCATCTCCTGAGTTTATACCGTGTTCATCACTTCTCCCATCTGGATCATCCCTATTTTTTTGGCCTCTCTTCAGAAACTCGTCGCTGTCGGACTGCTTGTGGTCATCTGTGATATGACCTCCCTCAGGGTCCTGTACAGACTGTACTTCTGCCTCCACTGAGCTTCCTGGAGAGATGCGTTTCTGGGTCACCGAGGTGACGGATCGCTCACATTTACTGCGCTTGGATCCCTGGAACTCGTGGACGCTTTTTGTTGGCTTGCTTTCCATTTTTCTTGACGAAACCTTAACCTTCTGTTGTAAGAATTAGGAATGAATTAAATTCAGAAATATAAAGAATTACTTAATAAATCGTTTTGCTAATGCTAAATGTAGGAACGATACCTTCATAGGCTCGGCTCCTCTTCTTTGATATCCACTTGTGGACAGAATGCCTTTCTGTAAGATCAAACATATGTCGATTGACTTTTGTTTAGGACTTCATCGATTTAAGTTGACAAAACAGGAAAGAAAAGGAATTACCGCAAACCAATGGATCAGAGGTTTTCCTTCATGGCATATGCTGTTTTTCCATTTTTTGCACGCTCCTCGTCCTGCAAACTCCTCAAAGGCCGGAGGGGTAAACCACAGGCCCTGACACTTTATGCAATTCTCACCTAGAATCAGACCAAAATTATAGCTTAGATAGACACCAACCCCACTTACTACCCTGCAAGAAAGTGTGTTTAAATAATGGATGGATGGATATTTCAATTGGAGCTAAATATTTAGCCTGCAAAATAAATGATAAGTTTGGTGCCATCTTGCTAACTACATAACCATATACTTAGCTTGCTCGCTACATAGCCAAATATTTAGCATGCTCGCTACATAGCCAAAGATTTAGCTTGCTAAATATTTGGCTTGCCAACTACATATTTAGTTTAGAACTGTGACATTATTGGTGTTAATATTTGGCTGTGTAACATCACAAACGGCACCTACTCATAATCACACTGATGTTCTTCTACAATTTCATACATATTATTAAAAACAATTTAACTTGCGTGTTAGTATACCTTCTTTTTCTCACCTTTTTTCAGTTTTTCTATATCCATAACTCCCTCTTTGTTTTCACAAGTCACAAACCAGATTCCTAGAAGGACAAAAGCCACTAATTATGGAACAAGTTTATTTCTACATTCATTATCAGTACCTTAAAAAAATCTTTATTAACTGTGAAATAATTGCACTTTAAATGCTTGGTAGGACTTTTGTTTTATGCCCAAAACAACAACAACAACAAAAAGATAAAGACAAAATATAACACCTACCCAGAAAAAAACTCACCGTTTTGCTTTGTAATGCCATTGTCTTTAATCTTCTTCTTCCTCTTCTTCTCGTCACCTTGGTTGCTGTACACATTAAAAGATTTGGCTCTTGCTTGCCTTAAGCCAAACTTTCCGTCCCCAGATTTCTCTTCCACTTCCTCCTCCACACAACAGGATTTCGGCGAAGGCCTTCTTCTCTTCGACATATTTTCTTGTCAAACTATTTTCCGCCTAGGAGAGACTATTTCAGGAGAAGTAGTCTGGGAAAAAAAAAAAAAAAACATCATGAGTGACATTTTGGTTCATGCCAAACATTTCTCACAAGTTGAATATCCCCCTTTTCTGCTAGTCATGTTCTTTTAGCTTTAGATTTTGCGCTAAGTTGTGTATTTTTCTCCAGCTACCCAAAACCACTGCTTGCCCTCAGATACACTGATGAATCCCAACAACCCTGGTGAAGAGATATAAACAAAGAAAGCATAAACTTCCTATTTATTATGAGTTTCCTCCAGCGTGGAAGAGATAAACTCTTGCCAAAGGCCTTATGTTCATAGATGAGCACAAAGGCTGGGAGGGAGACTGTTCTGAAACACGGCTCACAGGTTTTACATTACTAAAGAACTGAAAATGATTAAAAGATTTTCCTCTCCATTAAAGCAGACTTAATTCAGTTTAAGATCTTAATCGCAGTCAGCCTTGATTATGTCTTCAGATAAAATGACTGTTATGCCAATCAGAGCTGTGATTTTTCTCTTCCTGAAGTTAGACAGATGAGCAAGATTGACATTTCAACATAGCAGAACTGTGAGAAATCACAATTTTGGGAGTTTAAACAGTTTTTTAGGAAAATCAACCAATGTTTTCCGACATTTTATATTATGTTGGACAATCCCAATGGAGGAAACAGCTTCAACAGATAGATGTTGATATTTGTCTGTCGAAGCTTACTTACACGAGTGGAAAAAACCCGTGTTTCTCCCAGACACTAAATATTAGTTGAACTACCTCCTTAAAGCACCAGAACTTCTCCAGTAATCTGCACCGTCACACGGCCAGCTAGCATCCCCGCAATTACCAAAACAAGACGGAGCTGTGCCTTTAACTCCAGCTGTTTGCAGCAAGTTCAACGGAATAACTTAATCCTAACTTGGAAATCACTTCCACGCTGTATTTTTTTACGTCCACGGTACGGCGGTGGAGAAGCTACAGTTCTCGTAAAGTCCGCTGCGCAAGCTCACCTGAAAACACGGGAGTGAAAACGCCTCCGTGGTCGAAGCTGTGATTAACGGCCGGGTTCAAAAGCCACGCGCGCGCGCTGAACAAGTTGCTACGTTACGCTGCCCCGTTGTTTTTGGCTCTCTCGAAACTTTATTGGCAACGGCCGTGACTAACACTCGCTTTCCACAGCCGAGCAGAAGAACTCCAACTCAGAACTGCTTGTTAATAAATATCAAATAGCAAGAAAGCTGTTTCAACAACAAATATTTTCAAGATTAATAACTTCTACGGACGTTTTAAGTCAACTCTGATACTTTGTAAATCCGCTGTGTTCGGCTGGTCCGACAATTTTCAATGAAACAGAAGAAACACTTGATGTTTTATGTAATTCGGACCGGTTTGCAGTTGTGCGCACTCGTATTGTGCGTAAATGTTAGCTGACACTGTTGCTAACATGTTAGCTGACACTGTTGCTAACATGTTAGCTGACACTGTTGCTAACATGTTAGCTGACACTGTTGCTAATATGTTAGCTGACACTGTTAAAGCACTTTGAAATGCCTTGCTGCTGAAATGTGCTATACAAATAAAATTTGATTTGTTTTGGTTTGGTTTTTTGTGTTTTTTTTTTTTTTTGCAGCACATGTTTATGCATATCAAGAAACACCTCAGAATAAATAATGTGGACATTGGCTATTTAAACAGATTTTATTTTGAAGGGCTGGGTTATGTTCTTTTTTGTGCCTGTGGTTTAACGACTGTGACTGATGATGTCATTCCCTTGCTTTGATATGACAGTAAAAGATGATGTCATAGACAGAATCTTAAGTGCTTTTTGTAACAGACACACAAAGCAGAAGTCATACAGCCAGAGGCCACCGCGGATTCAACAAGTTGCTAATTCAACAAGTTGCTAATTCAACACAAGGAGACAAGAAAACATGGGTCAAAGAGAAAGCTCAACTTCTACGGAAACCAGCAGCGCAGAAACGATTGAGAGAATTAATGATCCAAAGGAGAGAAGACGATCCCTACATTTGAGACGAAGCAGCAGAGCCGTAGAATTCAAAAATGTGGATGAGTCTGGAGAGACATCTCCCAAGAACAAAGGGAGAAAAAAGGAGGAGAGCAATTTAAACGGTAGAAGGCAGTCCCGACAGAGATCGAAGAGCGTAGCCGTGGATCTCAATATGTTCGATACGAAAGAACGGTCAAAAGACAAAACCAAAATAAGAGAAGTCAAAAGTTTGGAAGAAACCAGCAGGTTCTCAAGATTTCGGGCCAGTTTCAGTGGAGGTGGGTGGATGAAGAACAAAGGCCGAGGGTCCATAACTTCCGATCAGACAAAACAAAAGAAGAAAGACTTAGGAGTCAAATTTTGGGAGGACGACAGCAGGCCCGGATCGCCAGTGGTCAGTTTTAATTTAGATGAGAGACGCCAATCCAGGCAGAGAAGGAAGAGCAAAGTCCGCCGTGATTCAAAGTCTTTAAGTCCAACCTCAGAGACGAAGCAAAAGAGCAAAGCGCGGAGAGCCAAAAGCATGGGGGACATCAGGACGCCGGGACGTCGTACGTCCCGTCTCGATTCGATTGATAAAACCCAGCAGGGACGGAGGTCATCACAGGGTCAAGACCCAGACAAGAAATCGCCAAAGGAGAAGGCAAAAACGACCATGTTCAATACATTCCAAGCACTCAGACTGATCGACGGGCAACTTGAAAGAATTGCGAAAAATGAGGAATGCCTCCTCATGTTATCCAAAAACATCCAGAACTTAAAGAACAAAGTCAAGACAATGAGGAGTAGCACTACAGAGAGGCGAGATAAGCTGTGGGACAAGTTTGAGGACTGGCAGAAACTGGTGGAGGGTTTTGATTACCCAATCGCGCACCTTGGAGCCATGATGAACGTCGACATGAATTTTCTGAGAAGGCTCAAGTACTTGGATTACGTCACAGCTCACTTGGACACCCTCAAGGAAAACTGCCGAAAACTGGAGAAGGAAAAAGAAATCGCAGAGGACAAACACCAAGAAGAACGACAGAAGCTTCTCAATGAAAGGACCAAACTGGAAAAGGTGCAAAGCGGCATCGAAGACATGTTTCCTTCCATAAGGAGGAAGATGAGGAGAAAGGAGAGAGAATTGCACTTAAGCACCACGGGAACAGAGACACAATCCCACTACGAAGCTTCCAAGAAGCTATCAAAGCTGTTGTCGCAAATTCACACATCATTCGCACATTTAGGAAAGAATTTCCAACCCTCATCAGTATAATGTGATTAAAGTACACTTTCCACACATCCCTAACAAACCTTTTCCACGGCCAACGTCTGATGCGTTGCAGGTTCTGTGAAATTATGAGAACCTGCAACTCGTGATACATCTGCATCTTCCATGAAGAAAAAAATAATCCAACACTTAGTTGTTGGTGTGGGTTTCACTGGGTGAGCCAGGTTTATCCCACATGTCTCCATCCCATTTATTGATCTCTAAACGCCACTGAAGACAACAGAACACGTCAATGATGCTAAATTAATCAGTTACATGCACGCCAGCACTTACGAAACATCCCATGACAATTACATGTTATCAATTGTGATTTTCATGGGATTTTTTTGTGAGGGCGACTAAATACATCTGCATCACACACACACACACACAAACACACACAAAAATAATCCAACACTTAGTTGTTGGTGTGGGTTTCACTGGGTGAGCCAGGTTTATCCCACATGTCTCCATCCCTTTTATTGATCTCTGCCATGAGGAAGAAGATGAGGAGAAAGGAGAGACAATTGCACTTAAACAACAAGGGAACAGAGACACAATCCCACTATCTTTAATCTTTATTAAGGACAGTGCACATTAATGAACACTCAACACTACTGTATAGACTGTAAATGAGCCAGATTATAGCATAATTGCTAATTTCCATCTGTAGTCTTAGACAAGGAGACCCAAACAAAAAAACAACAGTTTCAGGTGTTTTTTAAAAACATTATAGGTGGAATACTCTCTGATCGGAGCCGGCACACTGTTCCAGAAGTGACTCCCTCTGACTGACAGAACCGTTTGCCCAAATGTTGTTTTCCTGTAAGGGATCTCCAGGTCTCCTCTGGAAGATGCCCTGGTGCCAAGACCTCGCTCGGCTCTTTGCTTAAAATATATAGCAAGCAGAGGTGGAGCGAGTCCATGAAGAACTTTTTAAATAAGGCAACTGTTTTTAAAATAAATAAAGTTTTCAAAGTTAAGCATATTATATTTTTCCAAAATATGACACTGATGATAAGACAGAGGCTTTTGATCAAGAATGTTTATTGATTTTTTGAATAACATTTCTATAGGTTTTAATAATGTATCTCCAGTGAGTGACCAAGTTGTGATGCAGTAATCTATGTGTGAAAATACCACTGAGTGCAGGAACATTTTTGCGGAGTTAATTGTCATTGATGGTCTGATTTGTTTAAAGTTATTCAGATTAAATTTGATTTTATCTGCTGTGAGTTTTATGTGTTTTTTAAAGGACAGTGTTGGATCCAGTGTGACCCCGAGGTACTTGAACTCCTGCACAAGGTCAAGCTCTGTTCCCCCCAGGAACACATGGGACCGCTCCAGTTTTATGGGTTTTTTTTTTGTGAACATCATTGAAACAGTTTTCTTTTTGTTCAATAATAAAGACGACTGTAAAAACCAATGCTTTATGTCAAAGTTGATGAAGCTTCCTGGGTGCTTTTAGCAGATGTAAAGATAACCGCATCATCAGCATACATTTGGAAATGGACATGTGAACGAACACACATTTGGCAAGTCATTTATATACATGGAAAACAATATTGGTCCTAAAATAGAGCCCTGAGCGCCCCCTGCTGGACATTGAAGATATGACGAGATTGTGCCCCCTACGCTCACAGATTGTCTCCTGTTAGACAAATAAGACTGAAACCAGACGAGTGCATCTTCTGCAAAATTAAAGTAAGTTAATTTTGAGAGAAGGGCCTGATGGTTAACTGTATGGAGAGCTTTCTTTAAGTCCAAGAAGGCTGCATCAACGCAGGTGGTTTTATCAAGCAGAGATTTCACTGTTTCTACAAAGACACAATTTGCCGTCTCTGTAGAATGGTACTGAGGGAACCCAAACTGCATGGGGTGCAGAATAAAATGGTAGCTGAGATGTTTATTCAGCAGCTTCAAAATTCATTTTTCTGCTACCTGATCGGACGCTAGTTAGAGATATTTGTTTTGTCTCCTGATTTAGAAATTGGTGAGACTGTAGCCACCTTCCAACCTGATGGAACTGTTGCCATTCTGATGGATGCATTTATCAGATATGTTATTGGGCACACTAGTGAGTCTATATATGTTTTTTAAAAATTGTGTATCAAACCCATATCACAGCATCTTTGGCTTTCGTGGCCGTCATTGATTTAATTATTCTGGCAACTTCAAACTCTATGATTTTCTCTAATCAATCAATCAATCAATCAAATTTTATTTGTATAGCACATTTCAGCTACAAGGCATTTCAAAGTGCTTTACATCATAAACACAAAAACACAAAGTCATGCAACACAGAATAAAATACCAAGTGTGTGTTTTGTTTTGTTTTTTCCCTTTTCTTTTTGTCACGGAATTTAAGCGGCTGTTACCGCCGGACTCCGCCGTCCGTTTAACCACAGGTATTTGTCGGGCCTCGTTGCCCACAACAGGAAAAAAATTACAAACATATCCACAAATACAAATCCATACATATTACATTTCAAATACAATTCTAAACAGGTGTGTTTTTAGTTGAGATTTAAAGGAAGTCAGGGTTTCTGCTGTTTTACAGTTTTCTGGAAGTTTGTTCCAAAGTTTTGGTCCATAGATGCTGAAAACTGCTTCTCCTCTCTTGGTTCTGGTTCTGGGGATGCAGAGCAGACCAGAACCAGAAGACCTGAGAGGTCTGGAAGGTTGATACAACAGCAGATCTTTGATGTATTGTGGCGGTGAACCGTTCAGTGATTTGTAAACTAACAACAGTATTTTAAAATCTATTCTTTGAGCTACACGGAGCCAGTGGAGGGATTTTAAAACTGGTGTTATGTCTCTATCTTCCTGGTTCTAGTGAGAACGCGAGCAGCAGCATTCT